GAGTACCGTAATAGGTTTTTAAATATTAATTATTAATTATAAAAGTTTTGATTACGTTAAAATTAAGATGGTTTTAGGGCAAGGAATACTTCACAGCGCTGTCCCAATGCATGTTGACTTCACATGTCTTCAAAACAATTTATTTAAATTTTCCAATATGTACGTTGCCTGACGATGTTTTCTTCGCCGCCGGGCACATGGTAAATCAGCACTTGAAAGTGCAATCTACTATTTAATTGGTGCTTCCACTCGTCTTCATCCTCCAAATTGTGAGGAAGCCTGTGTCCAATGGTGGGACCTATATTATAGGCTGTAACTCTACTCGTGTTAATATTAACTGATTGATTTTTGTTACTCGTATAACTAAAAAGAGCAAATAGATAGTGATTACATTCTACCACAGGTGTTTTATATGTGGTAGACCCACGCTGCTGCTGCAGCTATATTATGGTTGTAGCACGAATGGGTCGGCTCGACCGGGGAAGGACCACGCTCTCACAGATTACCAGCGTAAAATAGCAGCTTAATTCTGCTGTGGTTATGGTTTGTATATAGAACTGGAGACCCATTTCAATGGAATCGAGGCATTTCATCTTAGTCCTCAGGGGCGATAACGCATCTGAATTTTAATTCTTAATGGAGATTTAATGTAGATGTCTATGGGTCACAGCTTCCACTTTTTTCATAGGTGAAGGTTGACAAAAGAGCACACAGTTCACCTGATGGTAAGTGGTTGCTGTAGCCCATAGGCATCTAAATCTATCCTCGATTACGCATCAAAAAGCAAATGCGTTGTCACCAGTGAGAACTAAGATGGAATGCCTCGTTTCCGTAAAAGGGATCTCTGGTTCTCTACACTCACCATACGAAACACTTCACCGTTAAGCTGCTATTTTACGCTGGTATTCTGTGAGAGCGTGGTCCTTCCTCGGTCGAGCCGACCCATTCGTGCTACAACTATAGTACTAATATAGCTGCAGCATGGTACTACCACGTAAAAACCATCACTTACCATCAGGTGGACTATGTGCTCGTTTGTCACCCTTATTCTATAAAGAAAACAGGGTCACTGTACTTTCCATACTAGCCAGCCTTGACAAACGGATTGGTGATCTATCGCCTTGGTTGCAATACGAAACGTTATGCAACTTTGAAGCTATTCTTCTTTACTGATGTGGATATTTTACATCTGGCATAATATATACAAGATGGTTATTTCACGTTTTTTCAGAGGTTTCGAGATCTGCAGGGCATTTCTCTTAGTTATATTTATGATACTCAAGGACAAAATTTTTATCTCAGATTAAGAGAAGTTATTTCCATTCATGATGGATAATGATTTATGATAATATCTTTCTTTGACTCACATCGCTTCATTGATTTATTAGTAAATGCAATTGCTAATCATGTGGATCTCGGATTCAATCCCCGAGTAGGGCAAAAATCAGTTTATAGCTTTTCTGGCAAGAAATTTTTAGCCTCGGAGAGCACATATAGCCGTCGTTTCAAATAGCCGTATCATCAAACTTTGAGAATGAGGCAATAAAGTGCACCTATGTTTTCGCACATTCTCGTGCACTACAACCTACTTTGCAGGTAACCAGAGGCTGGACATGACCGAAATTCAGTTTAGAGAACATTATTACTTTCTTCGCATACTTGTATCCATATTCTAAATTAAAAGTGTTATGTGCCAAAGTATCCGCTAACGGTCATATCATGAATCATGAGCCACATAATAAAGAATGACGAATAGCTCTTAGTCATGGTGCATTATGATCAATGTAGATGTAGAATTTTAGCTCAGTCATGGTTATGTGATAAATTGGTATCATCAAATCACGGTCAAAAATCGCTCGATCATGCCTTGAGCAGGTCAAATTTGAATCGTGGATAACCGTAAATTTAATTGTTGAATAGAATCAAATTATTTTACGACCTTTATCGTAATTAATTTTAACTTATTATTAATTCCCATTAATGGCGGTCTGAGATGTTGAACATCCTACTGTCATAATTGACCTGTGATCATTTCAATAAGGGTTATTAAATATACGTTTCAGTAATTTGTAATAATTTTAAATTTGACGCGGTATAATCCATAATTTTTTTTTTTCAAATATACAGTTGTATATATAAAAATTATTAAAATCAATTATGTTTTGTAGTTTCTTCAATAAACTTAATCGACTCTTATCAAAGTGAGAATTGAAAGTATTAATGTTGGTCACCGATACTCGTGTATATACCGCAGTGACATTTGAAATATACTGCTTCAACTATTACTGGTTGTTAATTTTACTAAAAGAAGTACTAACCTTGACCGTACGAGGTTTTATCACCGATGTACCTGTTACAGCGGTTTAATACTATCCATCCCCCAAATTGTCCCGTGGGTATCGCAAGAGGCGACAGTTGGAATCAAATCAGGAGATGCGCAGCAGTGCCTTCTTTAATACAATAAAAAACTGCGATTGCCAACCCGCCTACCAAGCGTGGCAACTATGGCAAATATCCACCCTATGAGACAACAAATGGGGGAGGCCTATTTTCAGCAGAAGACTTTTATAAACGTTGAAGAAGTACGAACCGTGTGAACACTACCAAATGTCAATCAATTAAATGTGAGCAGTAACTGGAAATATTTAGTACGTAGCTGTACATCGGTCTGTCATTTTGAAAAGAGTTGCCATATTTGGTAATTATTGATATTGGCTCGGCTATATTTATTTAAAACAGTTATACAATCAAGGGAGACCACGAATATTTTTCTTTAATTTTTTGACAGATTCTCTTACGCTATTTTGTAACAAAGAAATTAAAGCCTTATAAAACTCAACTCAGTCCCATGGTTTAAAAATATGTTGGTAAAAACGAATTTTTAAGTAATTGAATAACTTCATGCAACAAGATTTTGTATTTACTTCGTACCTGGGATTAATTTAACAACTTTTCGTTCCTAGGGTAGAAGATTTATTTCACGGACTTCAGTAATAATAAGATGGTAACAACTTCCTAACTAAAAAGTAATTGTATTAAAATCTCTATCAGCTCATCGTGTTTTAGTTACAAAGAAAGTTAAACGGATTTTTGGAACATTTTATAATATGTCTTTCACGGACTTTACAACTTCCTAACTAAAAAGTAATTGTATTAAAATCTCTATCAGCTCATCGTGTTTTAGTTACAAAGAAAGTTAAACGGATTTTTGGAACATTTTATAATATGTCCTTTATAAAAGATAACATTTTCTTATAAATATAGATGGATATGATTTCAACTGCATTTAGTAATTGGTTGAGACTAATTTTTTATCAAGATTGTGATCATCATCATCATCATTACAGGCCTTCACAAGTCCACTGCTGAACATAGGCTTACCCCATGGAATGCTATAAAGCACGGTCCTGCGCCACCACCATCGACTTCCTGCATGTCTTACCAGATTGTCACTCCATCCAGTGGGGGTGGAGGTGACGCCCTACACTCTGACTGCCGGTACGAGGCTGCCACTCGAGACCTTTCTTCCTCATCGGTTGATCAAGCTAATTGGTCGGCCAATTGCCACTTCAGTTTACCAATCCGTTGGGCTATGTCGGTTACTATAGTTCTAGGTACTGTAAAAATCCTCATTTCTAAGTTTATCACGCAGAAAACCACGTGCATAGCCCTTTCTATAGCTCGCTGAGCGACGTTGAGCTTCCTCATACGGCCAACAATGGAGAACCACGTCTTAGCCCTTTAATTAATCACTGGAAACACACGGGTTGTACAATCTTGTTTTCAGGTTTTGAGGTATACCTGCAGGGAAGATGTGTCGTAATCTCCCGAACCCTGTCCATGATACATAATTTAAAATTAATGGTGATGTAAGAGAATCCATGACCCCGTATCGTCCCCTGGATAGATGACCATGGGAGATGCCAAAAATTTGTTATGGCTTCCAACAGATAGGGGAATAACTATCTCGCATATTTTCATTTATTAAGGCTTACCTTAAGTATACTGCTGTCCATAGGCCCCCTCCATAGATTGTATCATTGGGGGGATTTTGCCAAAGTTGCCACGCTAGGTTGGCGGCTTGGAAACGCACTTTTTTATTAATTTTAGTTGTTGTCAGAAGTCTCCTTCTATCGTCTCTTAATACCGATAGGTGTAAAAAAGTAAAGTTACAGCCTATATACGTCCCACTGCTGGGCTTAAGCCTCCCCTCATTTTTGAGAGGGTTTAGGGCAAGGAAGTGTCCGCCGCGCTGCCCAAATGCGTGTTGACGAACTTCACATGTCTTCGAAATATTTTTTTTCTTATTCCTCAGACATGCAGGTTTCCTCACGATGTTTTCCTTCACCGCCGAGCATAGGTGTATGGTAGTGGATATTTTTACACCGCCACTAAACGGTTAGAGATACTTCATGAATGGAAACTGGAGGATCCAAATGTATTAAATGTCTTACACACATCCATTCATGCAGCACTAACGCGATAGGGTAAATCTTTTTTTTATAGAATAAGGATGACAAAAGAGCACACATTCCACCTGATGCGAAGTGGATAATGTGGCCCATAGACATCTACATTTAACCTCAATTCGAATCAAAATACAGATGCATTACCACCCCTGACTAAGATGAAATGCCTCGATTCCAGTAAAACGGTTCTCCGGTTCTCTATACTCACCATACGAAACACAGTACCACTAAGCTGCTATTTTACGCTGCTATTCTGTGAGAATGTTGTCCTTCCTCGGTCAAGCCAACCTATTCGTGCCACAACAAATAATATAGCTGTAGCTTGACTCTACCACGTATAAAATTATATCATCTTATTATATAACTGTAAGTAATAAGAAAATTAAATATATTTCACAATTTATTAATTCTATATAATAATATTTATATAATTATATAATAATTTCAATTATTTTATTAGGCGAGCGTAAAAGAGTACAACAACCACAGATTCCCGGCTACTTTACTTAACTATATTTTCATTTGTTACAGGCGGAGCGAGTTTCTAGGATGCGTCTCGTTCCCACTGAAAGATGCGATTAAGAGTGACGTCAGCGGGACCTACTTCTTGCAGCAGGTCTCCGGTAGGCAGGGCGCGACGCCGGCGCCCACGCACGATAGGTGCCCTAAGGAAGAACGCGTGACTGAAGACCGACGCAAAATGGCCACAGACAATACGGAGACCAGCACCAGCGACGGCGTTAAAGAAAATCATAATGATAAAGGTAAGTAAAATATTTAAGTGTAGATCTACGTTTAATGTTTAGTGTCGGTGAGCGAATATTCACTACCCTTTATCACCCTGTGGGCGTCGTAAGAGGCGACAGGGAAAACAAGTCAGGACAGGTTCAGCAGCGTAATAAAGACGAAAAATAAAAAAAAAATCGCTTGCTAACTCGCTTGCCAAACCTGACTACTTTATGCGTATGAAGCAATCTATAGGAGAGTTTACTTTAATAGGCTACGTAGCTTCTACGTAGTCAGTTTGCCACCTTATGTAATTCAGAAAAGGTTTGCTTATACCTCTTACCCTCCTTTATTCTTGGATTTAAAAAGCTGTTGATCACTCAGGTCCCAACAGCGTATAGGACCAACTAGTCAGACCTATGGTCAAGCCAAAGAGTATATAGTAGGTTAGGCCAGTGACAACATTTTTTATAAATGAAGGTAACTTAGAGTCATTACCACGTTCTTATCCAAAAATAAAAATTATCAACAATTATACCGAATTATTTGTATGAAAGTCAAATGAGCGCTAGAAAAACGACGATTGTACTCGTAAGAAGTTGTCGATAAATAAAATGTCTTGAGAAATTATCACCGTGTTTACCACCATTACGATGTTGTAAGAGGCGACTATACCTTATGGAAAGTGTTATTTTTAAATAACCGTGACCGTCGTTCCAGTTACAAAAAAGTCACAGTGAAAAAGTGACTTTGTCGCATTGGATAACTACTTGGAACATTAGAACGACTTATAACGTGACTTTGAATATGGATATTAGATTTAATATTAGGTTTTATTTCAGTAGTCGATTTTTTATTATCTTCCTCACCTAAGCTACGGACGTGACTATGTTATAAATACCATTCTAATTATTATTGAAATAAACGAATTTTATCTGACCTAGCCGATCAGTCGGTGTACCATTCCAGTACACCGTACCGCACCTTATTACACAGTAACAAGGTACGTGTAAGTTATATGAATAACTAATATTATTGTAAAAAAAATTGTATTGATGTCCTACGCCCATGACGGCAAAATCCGACAGTAGGAACGGTACACATGAAAAGATACCGATACAAAAATAATCATAAATCAAAATATTATAATAATACAATAAAATTAAATCGATATCGTAATATAATATACTTAGTAGGTGCCCCTAATAAATAAATAAATAATAAATCATAGGTATATACTTTATTACGCTATCTTTCATCATCATCATTACAGCCCTTCACAAGTCCACTGCTGAAAATAGGCCTCCCCCAAGTAATGCCACAAAGCACGGTCCTGAGCCACCTGCATCCATCGACTTCCTGCATGTCTTACCAGGTCGTCACTCCATCTAGTGGGGGGTCGCCCTACACTACGCCTAACGGTACGAGGCTGCCACTCGAGAACCTTTCTTCCCCATCGGTTATCGGTTCTTCGAGCTATATGGCCGGCCCATTGCCACTTCAGCTTACTAATACGTTGGGCTATGTCATTCACTCTTGTTTTACTGCGGATATCCTCATTCTTGAGTCTATAACGCAGAGAAACTCCGAGCATAGCCCTCTCCATAGCTCGCTGAGCGACCTTGAGCGTTCTCATACGGCCAGCAGTGAAGGACCACGTCTCTGATCCGTAAGTCATCACTGGCAACACGCACTGGTTGTACACTTCAGTTTTCAGAGATTGAGGTATACCTGACGCGAAGATGTGTCGTAATTTCCCGAACGCTACCCAGCCGAGTTGAATCCGTCGATTGACCTCTCGGTCGAAGTTGGACTTACCTAGTCGGACTATTTGTCCCAGGTAAACGTACTCGTCAACAACTTCGAGCATAGTGCTCCCAACAACTACCGGCATAGGTGAGACATGGACATTAAACATGATCTTTGTTTTGCCCATGTTCATCTTAAGACCTATCCGTTGGGAGACATCATTGAGGTCATTGAGCATAGAGCTAAGGTCCTCCAGCAATTCTGCCATAAGGACTATATCGTCGGCAAATCGAAGGTGAGTGATGTACTCGCCATTAATGTTAATACCGTATCCTTTCCAGTCCAGTTGCTCGTATTAAAGAAGCGATCGAGCGGAACCAAGGCTCCAAAGTCTTTGCCAGAGATCCGTCTGCCAGAAAGAGCCAACTGTCAAAGCTGAAGACTGAGTGTGGCAGCATCGTTTCCGAGACACCTGAGATTTTGAGTGAGATTGAGAGATTCTATGGGCAGCTGTACACATCATCGTTGGAGCCACACGCAAGTGTGTGTAACGATCCAAGAGCAAGTCTTACCCGACACTATTCCGATGATATCCCGGACGTCAGTCTGAGCGAAATTAGAATGGCTCTCCAGCACCTTAAAAACAGCAGGGCCCCAGGCGAGGATGGAATTACAGCGGAGCCTCTGAAAGCGGGTGGAACACCGGTATTTGAAGTCCTTCAGAAGCTCTTCAATTCCGTCCTCCATGGTGGCACTACTCCGGAGGCGTGGAGCAGAAGTGCGGTGGTCTTGTTCTTTAAGAAAGGCGACAACGTTCTCTTGGAGAACTACGAACCGATTTCCCTTCTGAGCCGCGTTTACGTGCTGTTTTCGAGAGTCATTACGAATCGTCTCGCACGCAGACTCGAGACTTCCAGCCTCCCGAACAAGCCGGTTTCCGAAAAAGCTTCAGTACCATAGACCACATACATACCCTGCGGCAGATTGTACAGAAGACCGAAAAGTACAATCTGCCACTTTGCCTAGCGTATGTAGACTATGAGAAAGCCTTTGATTCCGTCGAATTTCGGGCGGTGCTACAGTCCCTTCAGCGGTGCCAAGTTGACTGTCAGTATATCAAAGTGCTGAAGTGTTTGTACAGTAGGGCTACGATGGCTATCCGAGTACAGAATCAGAGCTCGAAAGCTATCCAACTGCAGAGAGGTGTAATACAGGGTGACGTGATATCCCCGAAACTCTTCACCGCTGCATTGGAAGACGTTTTCGAGCTACTGGACTGGAAAGGATACGGTATTAACGCTATCTTTGACCAATGCTAATTTTATTGAAAGCAACTTTGTCATAATATTCGCGATATATCGGAATTATAACACAAAATGTAATTTTTGCACATTAGACCTAGTAGAATATAAAAATGTATCTTTTTTTACATAATTTATAGTGAAAACTGCGGTAGCACTTCTTATTAGTTTGTGGTGAAAATTAACACTTTTCATTTCATTTTAGTTACTTCTGACTACTTTATTATTCACGTTAACAACACAGTATTTGAAATGTAAATTTTATAATTTTTACGAGACAAAATATAAGCAAATAGCTTGTAAAAACAGACAATTTTTAACTTTTATATAAATAACGAACAACAAACTTACTTTTGTACCTACTATTTTTTTATTAAGGTAGTGGTGGTCTCATGCACTCACTCGCGGAAAGGCAGAAACTCGTCATCTGAAGTAAATCCTCTTAATTTAGAGAACATTGACTTATATATTTAGAGAAGCGTAATTTAGTCGCGAAACGAATTCTCAAAAAAAAATTATTGTATGTAGTTATAATTAAAATATATAAAATTAGATATTGAATCTCATTTTATTATTAGAATAAAGTATGTCACAAAATTGCAAAATATCTTTAAGGAGAGCTCACAACATTTTAACAATAAATTAATTCTCTATGAAGGATTCTAAAAGATTTACCATTAAAAGATATACCATTTTAGTACACGTTTCCCCTTGCAATTTAATTTTAGTTATTAATATTTAATTATATATATATATATATATATATATATATATATATATATATATATATATATATATATATATATATATATATATATATATAAGCCAGGATGAAAGTATGAAGGAAAAGTTATATCACACGTTATGTAGCTATTGTGTTTTTATTGGAAGGTTGTGTAGGTAGCTAGCGCGGGCGGTGATTTTTACAGTGATTACGTCCCTCGGGCGCATAGGATATCCATGAATTTACGGACGGTGTTGGACAAAAACTTTTTAAATTTTATAAATAAAATAGCGTTTTTTTTAAATTCGGATAAATATTTTTATATTTAAGCCAACTATGGTTTTAGTGACAACGGTGCTTACACTTACACCTTATGTTATATATATATATATATATTATATATATATATATATAATTTTTTTGGTGCAGCGTATCTTTCAGCCACTTTGTATTCTTTTTTATATGTGAACTAATTGGTAAGACCCATTACTGCTTGCGAGATAGTCTGGCTAATTACTCTCTTACCTTGTACCGGTATAAATAAAGGCTGTAAGGCATTTCATCTCAGTTGAGATGATAAATTACAACTTAGCTGCAAGTGTTCATGAGCTGCAATAGCCTAAAAAATAACGAAACGAATTCTCATGAAATTTTTGTGGTATGATTATTATCACATTTAAAAAAGAATCGTTCTGAGCACTCTTATCTATGGTTTTGAGTAAACGTAGTGATTATATACTCTTTGGTTCTAAGGGGTCCTTTCTTAATACTACTATACCGGGGAAATTATTTTATTCTTTATTGTTTTTATAGTCAGATTTTACTTTTTTTTTTTTTTGAATATTAGTGTAATAAACGAGCACATAGTCCACCTGATGGTAAATGGATGCTGTGGCCCATAGACATCTACATCAATCCTCAATTAAGAATCAAAATGCAGATGCGTTGTCACCCCTGAGAACTAGGATTAAATGCCTCATTTCCAGTAAAAATTGTCTTCGGTTCTCTACATTCACCATACGAAAAACAGTAGCATTATGCTGCTATTTTGCGTTAGTACTGTGTGAGAGCGTGGTCCTTTCCCGGTCGAGTCGTTCCATTGGTGCTACAACCATAATAAAGCTGCAGCGTGGCTCTTACGCGTAAAAAGCTCTTTATTAAACGTTAATTTACTGCCTAAGTATTCTATTAGACAAGTTGATATGAGTAAGTATTTCTATGCTCCCGTAAGTAATTTTGTTAACAACGGCAGTAAACACCGTCGCGTAGCTTTCATCTATTTTACATACATCAACTCCATCTATTAACTTAATTCTGTATCAGTATCAATTTTGAAGGCATGTTGTAATTACTGTTATAACTTATAACAAATACTAAATGTACATAAATTATATATAACGTATAGCGTAGCGTACTATACAATATTTTATATATTACAGCATATTATATTGTATTTCTTGGAGGAGGCCTATGATCAGTAGTGGAGTTGTGAAGGGCAGTAATGATGATGATAATGATATTACATAATTTATTATTTTATGTACATTATCTCATAAATAAATAATGTCATTTTATAACATTTATTTATTATGTTTATTTACTTGGAAAAACAGATCCCAATCTAATCAAGCTGTATAGATTCCCGAATTCGGACACATTTGCTTGCCTTGAATGTAAAATATTATAATATATTAGTTATAGTTTTACATACATTCTTCATAAGTGTTATTCACAATGTCTTGAAACTCTAGTGTTGGCTTAGTGTCATATGTATTATTTATTCTGATATGCATAGAATACTAATACACAAAAGAATGCCTGTCAACCTTATTTTCTACGAGGTTCAGCGTCGCCGGGAGCACACATACAAGCAGTTACATCGTATTATCACTACTACAAACCCGATTCGCTGTGTTGACAAACACATTTTAGACTTTTTATTAATGTTCAAGATCATCATTTAAAAAATCGTTTAAATTTAATACATATTTATGTGTAAATAGTGTGCAATTTGGCATTTTCTAAATAATTTGCATTCGAAATTTGGAAACGATTGTAACGTCAAAACACATCTCGTATTGACATTTATATGTGTGAATTGACATGTTAGTGGCTACACGGACTCCGGCCACTCCCCTGTTCTATTATGTACGTATTATAATATTCTATGATTATATGTGACGTTGTTCATAAGCCTGATCTCGCTCAGGTACTGTCAGATTCTCTTCCCATCGGACTTATGAGTGCATGTGTGCTTGTATGCTTACACTCGTGCACTATAACCCCCCTACGCGGATGGCTAGTTTCCGGTGAGTATGACCGCCGTGACCGAAATTCTGGAGGACATGAATATCAAATGCTAATAAAATAGTAACATATTTATTAAGTATGAAAAATTTGTCAACTATAGACAATGTTGGTTAAAAATATATCATCACAATTAATATTTTGGAATAGCTCATATCGATCATCGCCTTATCGATTATTGCATCAGCTACAGTTTAGTTACAAATTATTATTTGTTAATTAATTAAGAAAATCATTATTTAAAAGAAGAAACGGTTTTTGCCACTGGTTTTCGTTGTTGTTGATAAGAGGGCTGGTTCTTTTCTCGCTCAAAGGATATATGTATAGCCATTCAGCGAGGAAACGAAGCTAGTGTTCTTGGTACGAGTAGAATTGTACGATAATTTAAATTTTTAGTTTTAGTTTTTCTTTATTAAAGTAAAGTAAAGTAAAGTTACAGCCTATATACGTCCCACTGGTGGGCACAGACCTCCGCTCATTTTTGAGAGGGTTTTAGAACAAGGAATTGTCCGCCGCGCTGCCCCAATGCGTGTTGGCGTTTTCTTTATTATATTTTTTTAATATTGTGTAACTTTTGGTGAGATTTAATTTAAAAAATAATTGTAAATACACTAATTATTATCTATGGTAATTGGTTATGTCCATTTTTTTCAACTTGATTCTTACCTTCGCGATAGTTAAACATAATTGTAACCGATTAATTTCATTTCAAAATTTTTAGGAGTGGCAACAAACGGTCCCGCTTGTGGTGCATCCGGCAGTCAAGCACAAGCGGTTGCTGCAGCTTTACAAAGGGAGGCTGACGAGCACTTGTTTTTGCGATACTTGGAACTTGATCCGCCGGAGGACCCAGCAGCACCGAGACGGGCGCCTAGAAACGGACGCACGCCATTCACCACCACGAGAAAGTAAGAGTTGGATCATTCATTTATCTACACGTATAAATAAAATTAACCATTAAGACATGAATATTGGCTATATATTGTCACAAAAATTTTGAACGAAAAAAATTGAGAAAATAAATAGTTTTTGATTATCTTCAATCTAAAGAACGTCTCTGAATAGATTTTACTCAGACAAAGACGGGACGAGCCGCTAGTCTTTATTAAAATACTATGTCTTTATTCAGATAGGTACTCTAAAATTATTGTTCTTTTAAGTGGGACTCTTTCTTTAAGTAAGGTTTACGTTATTGATAATTTATAAGCGTTTCTTTCCATCGAAATAACTACATTCATAGAAGAAAATTATTACTTATTCATAAAAGAAAACAAATATGATGTCTAATTCTTTTGACAACTATTTGAAAATCCTTAAAATGGAGAAATTATTATTTTTGTCGGTCATTATTGTTACCTCTAACGTTGCTGTTAAGGCTTATGAAAAGTCGTTCCTCGAAGATTGTTTTATAGGCGCGATAGAACCATGGTACAGCTACATTTTGGTTGTAGCACGAATGGGTCGGCTCGACCGGGGTAGGGCCACACTCTCACAGAATACCAGCGTAAAAAAGTAGCTTAATGTTGCTGTGTTTCGTATGGTGAGTGTAGAGAACTGGACACTCTTTTACTGGAAACGAGGCATTCCATCTGTCCTCAGGGGTGACAACGCATCTGCATTTTGATTCTTAATTGAATATGTGTGTCCATCTGCCATAGCATCCACTTACCATGAGGTGGACTGTGTGATCGTTTGTCACCCTTATTCTATAATTTTTTAAATCGATGCTGCATATATTTTGGTTGGTTTTCCTCGGCCGCCTCTTATCACACCAATGAGATGATAAGAGGTTGTTGATATTCTTACAATACCACTGCATGGTAATTTCCATTATTATTATTAGGTCATAAATATCGTTAACATTTTAGATTATGGATATAACGCATAATGATAAATGCTCAAACGCTACTTAATTTCAAGACGTCGTTAAGTTTCGTCGTGTCACAGTCACTTTGACTTAAAGTGATAGAGACAGCATGATACTTAACGGCATCGTTAAATTGCGCAGAGTTCGAATATATGGGCATCTAACAGTTTCAAATTTGAAATTGGAGAAGGGCAGCGTCTCTACCTTCAGGTCAATTTTCAATTATGGGAGGTATAGTTTGCAAATTATATTTCATTTTTACAGGCTCATCCGCGGTACTAGCAGTGGTTTTGGTTTCACAGTGGTCTGGACTAGACCACCCAGAGTGGAGAGAGTGGCAGCAGGCGGGTCAGCTGAGCGGGCGGGGCTCAGGGCTGGAGACTATATTGTGTTCGTTGGCAACAAGAACGTGGTCACTGCCAATGAGGAGGACGTGCGGAATCTTGTTAAGTAAGTATCAGTGATAACAAACCTTATTAACACTTCTAGCTAGACAAAAAATTAAGAAAAAGGTAGTGTTGCGTAAATTACAAGCGATGCCACACTAGGGATGGTCCATTTTACAGAAACGTCGATGATGACATCGATAACTCAACATCGATGTTTGATGTTTCTTCTACTCAAAACATCGATGTTTGATGTTTATTCTACTCAAAACATCGATGTTAAACATTCTCAATGTTCTTTGCACATGTATTTAATAGGTTAGAATTAGATGAATAAAAAATAGACATGTTTACCGTATATTATTAATGAATTAAAAGAAATTAATAAGCAATGTACTTACTTAGTTTAAAACAGTAATTTAAAAAGATTGTAAGAAGTTAACGAATATCTAGTTAATTTGGTATATAGTCCAATACTTTTTGCTATTGATTGAAGACATAGTAATTTTGCCAAAGAAGTATCTTTCAATCTGTTTACCCGTTGATAAAGAGTTTGAGTCGGCTTAAGACAAAAGTCAAGTCATATCTTAACTTTGTATTTGCACATTATTCAACATACATGTCTATAATAAATAATATCTTTAAGGTAATAATTTAGTGTATCTGCTACAAACTACTGTATTTCTGATACTCGTAGTATATACACAACAGGCTAAGGAATCCCATTTTAGCTAATTTTATTAATTAAAACAAGGTTTCTTCTTTTTTTGACAGTTTATTTTTAATGTAGTTTAATAATTTTTCATTTTATATATAGTTCATCTAATAATTTTCTCACATATCAATAATAGAAAACTTTCTAAGCAGTATTTTCTTCAATTTGCAGATCAGCTGGTCAAACTCTGATAATAGAAACGTTTAGGAGAGTGCCTCAGAACGGTGTCGGAGTCCGGCCGCGACTAACACAAGTGACAATTCCTCCGGTCCCAGCTGAATCAACGCCCCCTCCCCCACCCCGCTCACCCCGGAGTGCAGCGCTCGCATCTCCTGCAGCAGCCGCTCGACCGCCTACTGCTTGCTCCTCTACCAGTCAATCCCTCGACAGGCGCAAACTTCATCTACCACAAGTCACATTTTCGAAGGAGGTCGGTAATGGCATTATTGTTTGACGATCACCGAGATTTACTTAGAGAACTTATAAGTAGCAGTTTTAATAGACTGATATAAAAAAATTTATAAAACAATAATAGGTAATACAAATTTTTTTGAGTCAATCACAAGCTTGCGAGTGTTAGTAGTATTAAGTAATAACGTTCAAGCAGCTTAACTTGACAATATTTAACATATCATTACGATGAGACTGAGATGTTAAATCGGTGAGGTCTCTGTTAAGTTTGATTTTAGTCTGTTTTCGAATGCAAATGCACTTTGTTCCGTTTCTGATTACGCGTCAGAGACCTATTCTGATCCTGTTAGTAAACATTAGATCGGATAATTAAAAGGAGAATGAATAAATGCCGATTTGTTTACATCTCGACTACACATGCTGCCTACATTTCCGACAATTCATGAAAACAGCCAGAGGTTAATGATAATCCAATTCAATCAATTATTATATTTTCAATTAATATCAGTTATCAGTCATTGAAAGCTGCTCTTATTAGAATAATTACATTTTAATGTCGGGTACTTGTGAGATGATTGTATGTAGTTAAGAACTTGCAAAAGCCTTCGACAAAATGAATCAAAATAAATAACACATAGTCTGTTTTATTTTAACGCCAGTTTGGATTTCTTTTATTTTTAAGTCTTTATAAGGAATTCAATTTTCACTTCAATATTCTTTAGATGATAAAACGTATACACCATTTCAAAATACCAAGTGCCCTAACTTATAAAATAAAAAGTATCTCTTTGAGTGGCTGAATTTAGTGTTTCGAATTTGAATTCGTGCTAGTCATCTGTAGAAAATTCTTTGAATTAGTTTTTTTTCTAAATCAAAATTTAAAATTGGTGCTAGATTATGCTTAGTGGAATTCTTTATAATTAGATTGTATTTTACAGTTTTAGACTTTAAGGTGTGAAAAATTTGTTTTAATATCTGTAAGTTGTGGGTTACCTTGTTTATGTACAATTTTAGCGTGTACAATGTTATTTACTTTTTAGAATCATTATAGAATGGACTTCGTAATACATTCCATTATTATATAATATGTAGATATTATTATTTTCTTTACTTTGACATTATGTACAGAAGGTTTTTTTTTTTTGTTTTAAGTATAGACGTTAAGTATATTCACTAAAGGGGAAGCGTTACGTTTAAGAATACTGTTTCTTGTTATATTTATTTTGTTACTTTTTATTTATACTCATTTGTAACAACAGCGTGTGTTATTTTGTGAAGATATTTTTAGTAATAAACTTTTTTTAGCATAAGTTTTGCCTTGCTCTAAAGTTTCTGTTTACTTTAATAGGTAATTTTAATTTGTAACAAACTATTGCGTTTGGTTTTTATTTTTATTTCCTGTTTATATCTTTTTTCTTCTTTAATTTATGTTTTTTACGTTAAATGCAAATAAATTTATTGCTTTTCATTATTTTCTGTTTCATTTCCTTCATCAATTGCTTTCGTTTTAAAGTGTTTTTAAATATTACATTTTCTTTTTCATATGAAATCATTCTCATCATCCATTAATACATTTATTTCTTCATGTTTAATTATTATTACTCATAATTTTTTTCCGGTTAATTTTTAAGTAAAGAACAAACTAGAATTATTAATTCCGTCATTACTACATAGGAAGTCTGCGTGGGTGACTTAAGTCCCTAAAACGGTGAATATACGAATCACACGGCTTCCGATGGATGACGTGTGCTCCAGAGTTGGCACCGGTTTTAACGCATCTTTTCCGGTACTCCTACTCCCTATGCGTAGTCCCAAAATCATGGAAGACGGCTTTTGTCCACCCGATCCCTAAAGAAGACGACCGCTCAGACCCGTCCAACTACAGGCCTATCGGCATCACCCCCTTGTTCTCCAAAATAATGGAATCCATTGTCAACTGCCAGCTCATGAAGTACCTTGAGTATCACCAGCTGATTAGTGATCACCAATACGGTTTTCATTGTGATCGATCAGGTGGTGATCTTCTGGACTACCTAACTCATAGATGGGCGGAGACAGTAGAGTCCAAGGGGAAAGCATTGGGCGTTAGTTTGGACATTGTGAAGGCCATCGATCGGGTTTGGAACAAAGCGCTTCTTTCGAAGCTCCCTTCCTATAAGCTTCCCGAGAAATTGTGCAATTGGATCACCAGCTTTCTTGCAGATCGGAGCATCAAGGTCGTTGTAGAGGGTGCAAGCTCTGATTACAAGCCTATTAATGCTGGTGTTCCACAAGGCTGCGTGCTATCGCTAACGCTGTTTCTTCTGCATATCAATGATATGTTGCAAACCCGTAACATTCATTGCTATGCAGATGACAGCACACGTGATGCTCTGTACACCGACCGTGCCAATATTTCTCGGGAAAACGTCTCTGAGTACCGGGACAAATTTGTGTCGGAAGTCAAGTCTTTGCTGAACAGAGTCTCGGATTGGGAGAGACTAAATCTAGTCAAGTTTAACCCTCAGAAGACACAAGTTAAACGCAAGAAAGAACCCCTTTGTCGTACCTCCTTAGGTTCAAGACACTCCCCTTGTTGCCTCAGCCAGTATCGTAATTCTCGGCGTCGACATATCGAGTGACGTGCAGTTTCGTGGTCACTTGGAAGAGAAGGCCAAATTTGCCTCTAAAAAGCTTGGCGTGCTCAGCAGAGCGAGACTGTATTTATTGCCGGCACACCACCTGAAACTTTACAAGGCGCAGGTTCGGCTGCACATGAAATACTGTTCCCATCTCTGGGCTGGAGCTCCCCAGTACCAGCTCCTTCCACTTGACCGCATCCAGCGCAGAGCAGCTCGAATCACTCGAATCGCTTTCCGATCGGCTCGATTCACTGGCGCTACGAAGAGATGTTGCATCTCTTTGCATTTTCTTTCGCATATACCACGAGGAGTGCTCTGAGGAATTGTTCGGATTAATCCCAGCCGCCAAATTTCGTGAACGCACTACGCGGCAAACGTCCCGATACCATCCACACCATCTGGATGCTTGGAGGTCCACCACTGTACGTTTCAAAAGGAGTTTTCTTCCGCGTACGACCTCTCTGTGGTATAGTTCACCACCGGCGACTTTTCCGGACCGATACGACCTGGGAACCTTCAAGAAAAGAGCTTACCCCTTTCTAAAGGGCTGGCAACGCACCTGCGACATCCTGGTGTTGCGGTTGATCATGGGCGGCGGTAGTCACCTAACATCATGTGAACCGCATGCGCGTTTGCCCCCTCTTCTATAAAAATATACGATATAGCCTGTTACGCCAACACCAGAAGCAATGTCAGAGTTGCAAGCTGTCTGATAGTGCAATCACCAATCTACTTAACGAGTGTGTACAGTTAGAGACAGAAATCTAGAAACTAAAATGTTTACTATAGTCTTTACGAGGACAAAAGTCACTAAGCTTTTGTGTAAAGTTTCTATTTACCAAAACTTAGAGCAGTTACAACATATTAATAATGATACTCAATATCTTTTTTGGTACAAGGTTAAAGATGCCTACTAAATTTATTGTTTTATTGCCGTTCGTAAAGTAGGGCGGATATGATTTGAATTTCGATACATTTTAATTAAATCTTTTATTCAAATCCAAATTTTTGTTTTTAATTTTGCAATATGCAAAATTAAAAACATACTATATATCGGTACCATAGTCTTCTACATTATTCACATGCTACACCCTATTTATTTCCAAACGGTCAAATAGGTCATCCTAGTATGTAAAAATCAATTGCTATCCGTTAGTATTGCTCAAATTTGAAAACGATGTGAAAGATTTTTATGAATTTTTGTATGCATTTGAGTTAGTCCCTGATTGGTTTAAAACTCAATCGGACCCGGTAGATGGCGCTACTGCATGATCCAGAAATCACCGTGCGTACCCTGGCGGATCGCTAGTATATTATAAACATTACAATGAAAGATTGAATATTTGACTAAATTTAATCAAGAATTGATAGATAGATAAAAAGATAGAAGAAAGCCTAGGGCTTTTAGGATATATTTTACTTGATAATCCTTTTTTAATAACGAAAACATTTAATTACCCCCCGTGGTCAACGATTTATTGCTCAAACAAACTGTAAAGGCTTATTCAAACATTTAAAATTCCGTGAAATATTGCAAAAATATATGTTACAATATATTATAAATATTGATGAGAAAACTGTAGACTTATGAACAAAGGCTACATTAAAATTAATTCCAAAATAGCCAACACTTTTAAAGCAAGCACCGAATCCGGTGTATTTCCTGAATTTCTGAAATAAAGTAATGTTATTCCTCAATTTTCCTAACTATTTTTACATTCGACGCAGCCAAGCTTAGATCTTTTATTTTATTTCTGTACTAACAACATTAAGTAAAAATTTAGAATAAAATATTTGTGGTGAGGTGTTAGCTTATTAAATTTTATCGAATTTTTGCACACCCCTTGCATAAAAGTGAAATAAAGTTACAGCCTTATACGTCGTACAGCTGCACACAAGCCACTCGCACAGACTCGTCTGTGGCCTGAGAGTTTTAGGGTAAGGCAGTGTCTGGTGGACTTCACACGTCTTCGAAATATTTTTTAATTCTCAGTCGTGCAGGTTTCCTCGCGATATTTTTCTTCACCACCGAACACGTGGTAAATCAGTACTTGAAATTTCAATTAACAATTTCATTGGTGCCGGCAGGGATTGAACCCGGGTTGCTCGCGTACTGTGAAATTTACAGCGAGCGCTAAGCCCTGAACTACTACGACTCTTATATGCCACCCGTCTATTGCCGCAAGTATTGAGGTTATTAAACATATTTTGTGCATTTTGAATATTTGGTTAGCGCTCGCTGTAAATTTCACAGTACGCGAGCAAACCGAGTCCGATCCCCGCCGGCAACAATGAAATTGTTGATTACAATTTAAGTGCTGATTTACCACGTGCTCGGCGGTGAAGGAAAATATCGTGAGGAAACCTGCATGTCTGAGAAATAAGAATAACGAAAAATATTTCAAAGACGTGAAGTTTGCCAAAACGCATTGAGGTAGCTCGGCAGAAAATTCCTTACCCTAAAACCCTCTCAGAAATGAGAGGGAGGCCTGCGCCCAGGAGTGGGACGTATATAGGCTGTAGCTTTTAACTTTATACGTGATAAAGCCATGCTTCAGCTATATTATGGTTGTAGTACGAATGGATCGGCTCGACCGGGGAAGGATCACGCTCTCACAGAATCCTTAATTGAAGATAAAATATAGATGTATATGAATGATTCTTAATTGAAGATAAAAATATAGATGTCTATGGGCCACAGCACCCACTTACCATCAGGTTGACTGTGTGCTCGTTCGTCAACCTTATTCTATAAGAAAAAAAAAAGTTATCGACTCCACAGACTCATGAGGCAATATTATATAAATAATAAGTCTCACTATTACAAAGTTTATATTTTTTGATTAAAACTACTTTTACGGATTTTATCGCGTTTATTTTTACTTTTTATTTTTTTTTTTAATTCCCGACGTTTCGGGCGCTTTCCAGCACCCATGGTCACGGGGGGACTGAGATGACTGACGTCCCGATGTCATTGTTAAATCCGGAGTACCTTCAGCTTTTTTAATTATTGTTTATGGTCCGATCTATGCAAAATGAACTATGTCTTGAGGTCTTGCAGTGGTATGCTTGAGTTTAGTTTTAATTTTATTGATTATAGGATCCCAAGCAGGTGGTAGTACCCCGCCTCCTTCTCTATTGAAATTAGGATGTTTTTTAATTTCAATAGCCTCACGTATCATCCTTGGTAGGAATCGGTGTTCTTTCGCGAGGATTTGTGGTCTATCAAATCTGATGTAATGGTTGGGGCCGTCTAGGATATGATCACAAACTGCAGACTTCCCGGAACGTTGATGCTTCACATCAGCTATATGTTCTTTTACGCGGGTCCTAATTGATCTTTTGGTTTGTCCTATATAAGAGAGACCACATTCACAATCAAGCTTGTACACTCCTGCATCTTGTAGAGGAATATGACACTTGACGGATGGTAGGAACTGACTAATCTTCTTCGGCGGCTTGTAGAATGTTCTAATAGAAGCTCGCTTCAAGATATAGCCAATCTTGTCTGTGACACCTCTGACATATGGTAGTACAACAGGTACACGCTCGACTGTGGCCGGCTTCACTCGGTCACTGTGACGTAGGCGCGGGACCCGAAGCTTGTTGTCGTGCAGAACTTGCTTGACGTTCTGAAGCTCGGCGGCCAGGTGTTTGCTGTCACAGATCCCTCGTGCTCTCTGTAACAAAGATTTGCCCACGGTAGCTAACTGTGAAGGATGGTGGTGAGATTCACCGTTTAAATATCGGTTTGTATGGGTCTTTTTCCTATACACAGTGTGACCAATGGTGTTATTAGGATTTCGGATGACTAATACATCTAGGAAAGGTAAGGAATTATTTGCCTCTAACTCCATAGTAAATTGAATTTTAGCGTTTATGGAATTAAGATGTTGTAAAAATGCAGTTACTTTGTCTGATGGTAAAATTGTGAAAGTATCGTCTACGTACCGCTTGTAGATCCTTGGTGTAACAGGTGCAGTAAGGAGGGCTTTCTCCTCAAAGTCTTCCATGAATATATCGGCGACAATGGGAGATACAGGTGAGCCCATCGCCACACCATCTACTTGCTTGTAAAACTCTTCCTTCCACAATAGATAGCCAGATGTAAGGCAATGTCTTAGTAATACTGCATATTCTGCTGGCATGTTATTTTCCTTTAGTTTCCTAGTTATAATTGAGATGCAGTCTTCAACAGGTAGGCATGTAAATAGAGACTGAACATCAAAACTGACCATGGTTTCATTGTCAGTAAGATGTAGGTCTTTTATCTCACTGACAAAATGGTATGAATCCTTAGTGTGTGCTCTTGTGTGTCCTCTGAGTGGTGATAATATTTTAGCTAAGTATTGAGCCAATCTGTAAGTTGGCGAATCAATCTGACTCACTATTGGACGTAATGGAGCATTCGGTTTGTGTATCTTTGGTAACCCATACAACTTCGGTGGTTTGGCACAGGAAGGTATTATCGAATTAATTTAAATTATTAATTTAATTATAATTATTAATTTATAAAAAAGCTGAAGGTACTCCGGATTTAACAATGACATCGGGACGTCAGTCATCTCAGTCCCCCGTGACCATGGGTGCTGGAAAGCGCCCGAAACGTCGGGAATTAAAAAAAAATAAAAAGTAAAAATAAACGCGATAAAATCCGTAAAAGTAGTTTTAATCATGTGCAATGTTCGCGTAAATATAAGAAATCTTTATATTTTTTATTAAAAAAAAGATTTTACAAAAACGGCACTTATAGTAGAGATGGGCTGAATATTCGTTTCGTATTCGGTATTTGGCATATTCGACAGCTTTATCGAATATTCGTATTCGGTCGAATATTCGCTAAATTACCGAACATTTTGTTAAAATAGTATTAAGTAGCAAAGTGTGTCTACTGAGTAATGCCACGTATTTCATAATTTTACTGTTGAAAGTATATTTTGTTTATGGGTTAAATCTACTTGTAAAGCGTTATGTTTATGGGGCACTGTAGATGTATTTCCAATTATAGCAAATAGAAAAATTGATAAAATGTTTTTGGAATCAAACAAGGAAACGTTATATTAGTACATTTCACTTTACTTTGAAAGAAAGAAAGAAAGTAACTTTGGGCGTCATTTTCTCCAAAATAAGTCCAAATAGTAAATCTAGTAGATTTTTATTACAATTATGAATTTTCACTAAGAATAACACAACGAAATACTTTATTTCTCACAAGAATAGTCAAAACATAAGCATGTGGTGGCAATTTGCTCAGTAACAAGTTTCAACATAAATTGGGTAGGTACCGAGGTAATCCTGTCGATTATTGTTCGGCCGAAAGTTCGGTAAAACTTTTACCGAACCAAATATTCGGCCGAATATTCGTATTCGGTGAAATCCATATTCGGCACGTCTCTAATATGTAGTAAAGTTGAATACATGACTGATAATAACCCCTGGACTGAGGCGATTGCTTCAGATCTGTTTCTTAAATGAGTTTCGTTAATTAATATTTTACTTATAATATATAATGTTACTTTTGAAATAAAAAAGTACGGTACGATAAGTAAAAGTAGTTCTTCCCAAGATAGACGCTTTTTCTCGATCGAGTAGTATAAATAAAAAATTACTTTCAATAAGAATTATTTATTATCTATCTATATTGGAAAAACATTATTATTTTCTTTTATACTTAATTACAAAGTAAATAATGTTGTATCAACATTAATTTAACGTACATTGCTTGCTTTCAAATTTACATAGAATGTTAAAAATCTGTATACTTTCAGAATTTCGTATAAAGAACAGGAAGTCAAGTTGTGTTTTGTTGAAAACGCTGCAAACCTCTATGTAAATTAAATAACACAAATATAAAGTGGTATTTTCAGTAGCATAAGCTGTATAACATTATTGCTATATATACAGAGCTTCCTTTGACAAGTTTGTATCTAATTCATAATTAATTTAAAAGTTTATATTTAAATCTAGGATCGATCACCTCCATCAATGAAATTTTTAGTTGCTATTTAAAGTTCTGATTTACCAGGTGCTTAACAGTGAAGGAATCATCATGAAGAAACCTGCATACTTTGAAGAATAAAGTACATTAATACCGTAAAAAGTCGCCAATACGCACTGGATCAGCGTAGCGGACCAGCAGCTTCACAACCCTCTCAAAAATAAGAGGAGGCCTGTGGCCAACTGTAATATTTTTTCTGTCTCAGACGCCAGGTGCATCGAGCGATGGAAGGAAACGTGCACTCCTCGCGGTAATTGCGAGGGAGCAACATTATGCCACCTGTCTCCAGTTTGGGCTAGTCAGGTTCGTTTCGCCGCTAGCAGAGAGAGCTGATCTAATCGTCCCAAGTGATCATCAGCTACTGTTCCAGAATATTGAGGAGGTGAGGTCAATTACGTAGAAATAAGTTTAAGTAAAACTTTTGACCCCGGGATCCCAGCACTTCAATCAGATAAGATAATATTTTTAGGTGATTTCGTTTTCAGACGTAGAATTTATAACATCTTTTCATAAAGAAAAGTGATGCATAGGAAAAAACAAATACACATTTTTAATACATAATTGATGTTTATAATCTATACACTATTTATTTTAGAGATATAATACTCACAAAAATGATAATGTAGCCAAAATTAAGTTAAAAGTGCAAAATATAAACTTAAAAAATAATGTCAACTAAGTCAAATTAACATTAGAGTAAAATATCGAAGAGACATTAACAAAAGTAATTGATTAATTAAAAATATCATTTTCAGATTTTCAGGCTATCCGAAGATATTCTTGATCAAGTAGTACAAGACGAAGGAGAAATACAAACGTCGACAGTTGTCGCAGTGTACTTACAAAAAACTCCAGTATTCCTTAGCCTTTATAAGAAGTATTGCTTAGGCCTGAAACGAGCTGATTGTGTCTTGGTAAGAAAAAATTACCAATAGGTAAAAAATGGTATTTCTAAGCAAAAAAACGTAAAGGTCGTACGTTTCTTATAGCATCTTGGATCTCTGGCTTGAATCCCACTAAATAACGATTGTGAATCAAAAACATTATAAATTTTCGGATCATGGATTACAAGAGGGTTAAACTTCCTTAAAACTTTTGTTCAACCTTCTAACTTTTACTTACATTCTAGTGTGTTATGTGTACCTGATTATGGACCAGAAAGCAGATTCATATTCACCACTGGCAACTACAATAGAATGTCTCATTACCAGTAATTACGATTTCCGGTTTTCATTACTAACCATACGAAAAACGGTAGCATATTGTTATTTAAAGCTAGTGTTGTCTCACACAATACTAGCGTAAAATATCTTTAATATAGCGTGGGTTTTCCGAGGTCAAGCCAACTTATTGGTACTGTTACCAAAAAACGGTGCAATGTACCACGTGCACATGTCAAAGTTTTAATACAGAATAAAGGTAACAAACAAGCACTTTGTCCCTATTATGGTAATTAGATACTATGGCCCAAAGACATCTACATCTATCATCGATTAAAAATCAAAAAGCAGATGAGTTGTCACTTTTGAGAACTAAGATGGACTCATTAGCAGTAAAAAGAGTCTCTGATTCTTTATACTCACCGTAAGAAACACAAAAAAATTAGTTAAAATTTCATGCTTAAATTTAATATTTAGTTTTTTATTAGATAAAGCTATTTATTAAGAGCTAATTCAAAAATTTCAGGTGAAAAAATCTAAAGATCCAAGTGGAGCGTTCTCTCGATTTTGTACGAGCCCACCCATACCGCGAAGAAGACCCGACATAACGTCTTTAATACACAAACCTTTAGAACAGTTCAGAGAACTGCTAAGGCTAATGAGAACGGCCGCCAGTGTGAATGGCGCCGGACCTTACGATCAGCTCGAAAAGAAGCAGCTACAAGTCATTGTTGAACAGTTACAGGTACTTTTATGTTATCTTCTGTTTTAAACAAGTTGCACAAATGTGCAGTAGCCAAGTGTTTGGATAGAGATTTTCGGGCCGCGGGTTAAGTTCCCTTTAAATATCTCTTAAAATATTATTGAACATACTTTTTACGTTGATTTTTAGAATTTTTAAGAATATATTCTTCATAGTTCATTGCCATCTCGTAAAAATGTATTTCTGAACGGGGCCTCTCCTGTTGCATAGTCAAACGAACTTACAATCCATGGATTGTGACTTCTGAAGTCCATCGACAACAACCAATTTCAAATAAAAAAGGCTACAGATGTGTTGTGACTCCTGAAGAATGATTATGACTTACCAAAAATATAACGCCAATCGTAGATAAGTTCTTTCAGCATAATACGCCAACAGCTATGAACAACCGTGATTTTTGTCATATTTATTAATTTGTCACATTTTTAAATATCTGTTGACTATTGATATACTCGTTGATCTTTTTTGTTTTTAACAACCATGTGAATTAAGATAAATAAAAATATAAACTATTAACATTAGAGTTTCGAAAAATTTTAAGAACTATAATGTGAAATAACAAAGAGTATTACTACATTTGAGAATACTAAGCCATAGTTATGAAGTTATTGTATTGTCAAAGGTTCTTAATACGTCTGCAAATTTAAATCAAATTATTCAGGCCTCTGGAAGTGGATGAAAACCGAATTATGAAATTACATCAAATTCCACATTTTACTGTTTTAGTCGTTAATCTACAATTCCAGGGTGCATACCAGGATGTCACTGCAGGCTCCGGGTTAATGGGTTTAGCTGGAGATGGTAAGCCGTTGCTGTCAGTTGCTGACCTGGAAAGTCGATTGGTGTTCACTAGATGTAAGGTATGTTCACACAGAGTAATTTATATGAACGATCAGTTTCATTGTATAAAAATAATTTTGTAATAGTATCCGTATTACAATTGAATTACATTTAATAAAAAGAGTTTCGAAAAGAGAGTCGTTGTTTACTAATTGTAAATATTATGTACTTTCAGCCGTTCGTTTTAAGCACTCCAGGCAGGCAATGGATTTTTGGGGGCGAATTGTCCAGGGTTGAAGGCCGAGCCATCAGACCATACTGGGCACTGCTTTTTAGCGATCTTTTACTGTTTGCCACAGTGTCAAGAGACAGGGTCCTCTTCGTCACCGAAGAACCCGTCTCCTTGGCATCGGTGTCAGATGCTCAATTCAATATTAGGAAAAAAGGTAAGCTTATTACATAATCACAAATTATAACAAACCCATGATGGCAACTACACCATTATACATAATCTGACCAATTCAACGCAAACATGGAACATCGTCAATTCGATAACAATAAAGTATAAACCTTACTTTTTTGTTATCATACAAAAGATTGCATTTTGGGATATCGTTCACTATTAAATGAACTACTACGCTACGGTCTAAATATTTGATTTTGCTGGGTACATGTCTCCTTACATTTCAGCGAGGGAATGTGTAAGTCTGCCAGTTCGTAACGAGATATTTCATCTTAGTGCTTATGAGTGACAATCACAGAATACAATAATACATACATAATAGAACGGGGGAGTGGGCGGAGCCCGTGTAGCCACTAAAATGTCACTTACACTTCACACATAAATGTTAACATAATCAATCGTTTCCAATTTTCGTGTCAAGCGTCGCTGCATGCAAATTATTAAAAAAATGGCAAATTGTGCAATAATTAAAAAATATAATAATAAATAATTAATTAGATTAAAATAAATAATTAGAAAGAACAGCGGGAAATGGAATTTAAATAAAGGATACATATCCTACAACTAGTACGTCGAAACTATTTATATTTTGTAAAATTTAGAAACAAAAATAAAGAAATATTGATGTGTCAAAAACATTAATCAAGTCTAAAAAGTTTAAATTCGCTCAGTCTGTCAGTACAGTGAATCAGCTTTGTAGTAGTGATAATACGACGTAATTGCTTATATGTGTGCTCCCGGAGACACCAATCCTCGTACAAAATAAGGTTGACAACCATTCTATTGTGTATTATAGTATTCTGTGGTGACAACGCATCCGCATTTTAATCGGGAGTAGATGTAGATGCCTATGGGCCACAGTAACCACTGACTATAAGGTAGACTGTGTGCTCATTTTTCACCATTATCCTATACAAAAACCTTGATGCACTTGGCGCGTCATGATATTTCTAGCACGTGATAAACTGCAATTAACAATATCATTGATAGTTTCTGTTAACTGGGTCAATTGACCCTGTAATGGTGGTGTAACGAATATCTACTACCCCAATAGTCCCGTGGGTGTCGTAAGAGGTGACAGAGAAAAATTGAAACAGGCGATAGGCAGGAGCATCTTCCTGATAACAACTCATAATAATAAAAATAGGCTGTAATGGATGGATGGCGTGAATGTCAAATCCGGGTTGCTCGTGTAACGTAAAATTTACTGCTACCGCTTTGCTTCTGAGCTACCCCGCGTATATCATAATTAATCCCAGTTTTATCATGATACAGTTTTTCATTATGTTACTGTTTCCAGCAACGGAATTTCGTCTCATACTTGGTCGTGCTGGTGGAGAAAGTCCGTTGGTTTCCTGCTCACCGCGAACACCAGGGCGAGCCCGACCCATTGTCCTTCGAGCACCTTCAATAGATTTAAAAGCTGTGTGGCAAAGTTTACTTCAAAGACAAATGTGAGTAGTAAAGAAATTATCATAAAAAAAACAACTAATACGAGAACCATCAATAAAATACATTTCTTTAAAAAATATAAAGTTGAATAAATGTATGTCGTATACCGAAAGTAAACCTAAAATTTATATCAAAATACTTTGCAACAAAATTAAAAATAATATTACAAAATTCTTTTTATTTTTATTGGAGAAGAATCTTTAGTATTCAAAAAAACTGAACTAAACTTTGAAGACATATCACTAAATAAAACTGTTTAAGAATTATGTTTCAATGTCGCCAGAATAACACATATAAAAAGGAAAGTAATGTGCAAAGTTCTTTTTTTTAAGTCTCCATTATGTTTCTTTGATTATATTTCGGCAATATAATGATTTAAATTCTATTTACAGCTACCGAGCTCACACGATGTCAGGCACGCCTCTCGGCTCACCACTAGACTCACCAGATCCACAGCTGACTTTCTCTTTAGCAACCCTGGATTCACAACAACGCCAGGTATCGGCATCAAGCATTCAACGTCACTCAAGCATGGCACTTTTACCAGCCAGTTCATACCGGTCACATCTTAATATGCTAGTAGAAGAACGGCCTGAGAAAGAAGTTAGAGTCAGTTTCGACGTTCGACCTTACTCTGAATCTCCTCTTCCCCAACCAGTTAGAGGTCCATTAAGCTCAGTATGGAGAACAGCTCTTACGCCAGAAACACCTTCAGCTAATCTTTCTCCTGCTGATTCACAAACATTCTCCTCTCACTTTGTATCTTCATCAAGCATTGAAAAAAATGAAGAAAGACCTACTTCCCCCAGTGCTAAAGTAACTTCAGATGGAGGTGAAGATTATTCAGAAGTTTCTCCCTGTAGGTGGGAATCATTTGAAGCAGACCTAGCATTAGTTGACTTGGACATAGATCCATCTTATAAACATGCAGTTGAAGAACGCATATTTCTTCCAGATGACCCACTTTTACCACGTGTAGCATTACCAGAGAGGCCAACTCCTCCAGCCTATTTGGAACTTTGATACGCAGAGTCGGATTCGGAGTTAGCAGACGTTTGCTTACACCGAATCCTTAACAGAAAATTCAGTTAGGAGATTAGATTCTGCGAAACAACCATTTCGAATGATGTATTTTGTAACCCTGACTTAAATCCACGTCGTGAACGATATTTTGTTTAAAATAAAGTCTTATAGTAATGACACTGGACATATTTTCCAAACTAAAAAAGAAGAATCATCATTGATTGAGAAACTACTTACAAACAAGATAAAGGTTGTGGTAGTAAATGTTAAACCTTATAATAGTAAAAATTATCCGCCCGCGTATTTTGATGTTTGCCATTACAAAAGTATCATACTCGTAACATAAGAAACCCACAAAGTATTAGCATTATTATTATATTAAGTGTATATTATTTAAGTTTTTTATGTTAACGTTCTACAATTCAAAAACTAGCTCTGTGTCAAATATAGTAATTTAGGGAACCAAATTGTAGCAGATTTTTATACGGTTTCATTACATAGCACTTTTTTAGATCCGAGTCGTCGCTTTTTAAGTCTTCCGTCCTTTTCTTATAACAATGCTTCCCCCTTTTTTTAAAAATTTATATATAGCGATCTTTATCAAGACATGTGTATATCGTGTTCCTTTGATAAATCTTGTAAATTAATTTCAAGATTTTGGCGGTAATTAGATATATTTGTAATTATGTAACGATAATATTAAAATTAAGAACGTTAAGCGTCTACGTTATTATATACTGTTTGTATTGTTGTAACTATTTGTACAGGTCATGTGGATATTTGGCGATCAACTTCGCGATATGTTACCTCATGTTATCCATCTTAGATTTACACTAAAGCAGTATTTATTTAGCTTTTTTATTTTTTGATATTACAAGCACTCATCGCCATTTCCGTCATATGTATTACAATGAAAAATGGTAGTCGACAATACATTTCTACGTTACAACTGTAGTTAAGCTTTTTATTTGTATATTGTGTGCATTTATAATATTATTATAAAATCTATACTTACGCTATAAAAAAATAGAAATCGCGTAGATTAAATCGCTAGCATCGTGAAATGTTCACATAACCTACATCGGGGACATATTTGTATGTCTTTTATACAAAAATAAATTATTAGAATCAATAACTTTTGATGTCTTTGGCTGTGTAAATTTAAAAAAATATATAAGAAAAACACGATAATTTTGAGAAACAATTTTACTTAATACTCTGGGTTCATTATGATATACGTATATCATGGACTACTGATATAAATTTTGATGTTTATGTTTAGATTGGATTAAAAAATTTCTAATGCTGGGTGAATAAAGAAGCTATCAGTGGTGAAAACATTCTTTTTATTTGAAATCTCTCTTTCGGAAATTTTGCGACGCCAACGAATAAGAGTTGTTCTAATTAACGATCTACCATTTTTCTATGTAATACAATAACACTCGCAATTTTTATGCATGCAAATTGTTACGTCGCACAATTTAGATATAGGTATTGATAACTAGTATCTACTCACATTTCTTTCTCATGCAAAAGCTCTTGTAATATATTGAGTTAACGATTTCACTGTATTAAAATAAGACATTGATTCTAACTTTAAGATTCGCATTTTATACGGCGTTAATAACTGTCATATGATAATAATGACAAAATTTTAAAACACAACCCACCACTACTTAAACATAGTATACTATTGAATTGCTCATATAAAGTCTATTGGGTGGGTACGATCAAGGAAACATCTTACAGTAAGTCTAATTTCCCATAAAATCCAATATAAGTAATAAATCCCACGCGGGTGAAGTTGTGGTAAACAGCTAGGTAATGTATATATCTATTTATAACACTAACTCCTTTGGCTATCCAAAAAAAATGTTTTAAACTACCTACATTATTTGTTTCCTTATAATATAGAAGCAGATCTTGTCTATTTTATATATTTTCGCCTTTAAATGGACTGTGCTACGATATTATACACAAAATATGTATAAGTTTCGTTTCACACACTCTGAATTGGTAAGTACCTTCTTTTTTTTACGTAGCAGGTTATGTATGTTCTACAGAAATATTTTTTCGACAGAGAATATTATTATTCAGAAGAATATTAAAAGTTATTTTTTACGTAAGGTTTACTTGAAATTACGTCATAAATATCCACATCACCAAACATTTGTAATAGTCGCCACAACTTTTAATACAGTGACCGATTATATGAATGATGCAGACACGTCGTAGTTCAGCTGAAACCCAAACGGGTGCCGGCGGTAGTGCTGCAGAAGGAGCAAGGAGCAGTCGCAGTAGAGGATCAACTCTCCATTTACAAAGGTGGATGACACAATTACCAGAAGCCGAAGAGTTAGATCCACCTGAACCTGAAATGGAGGTATAAATATTTTAAAGAACCATTTTGTTTTTGTTTTTCAAAAGGTTAAACAGTCAATAAAACATCTCTTTCATCGAATTTCGCAGATGTGGAGCATAGAAGAATTAAGAAAGAGATCTAGAGAACTAAATCTACTCGAAGTAGCAGATCTTATTACCAAGAATGGTGAAGCCAAAGATTCATCGCCAGAAAAGAAGGAAAATGATCGAAGTCCTTCGAAGAGCAGTAACTCTGATAGCCAAGTAAGTCAGTAGAAGCAGTATTTTAAATTGCATTTACAAAAACAATTTTATACATAAAAATATTCATGCTTAAAAATTACCCTTATGAGTAAATCACTTACTCGTATAATGTATTTCTTTTTCTCCAGATAACTGTACGAACCAGTCCCGTGGTTGTTGACACTATACCGGTCTGCAGACAATGTCACAAAAAATGTCTCTCTAAGCCAAATAGTCCTTTAGTATCCCAAAAAGAACCACCTACTCCGCCAAAGATCAAAAATGATGCTTCATCCCAGATATCTAATTCAAATAAAAGTTCTAACAGCAAATGTAGTGCTAAATGTGATAATCGTAAGCAAAAATTTTTTTGCCACTTAGAACGTAAAGGTGCTATAAAATTACGTCCTGAAGATGCTGCCTTAAAAGTAATAGACTCTATAGAACAAAGTCAGAAAATGCTGAAATCTACATCGTATGACCTTAAAACTGACTCATCAGTACTAAACAATAAAATGACCAGAAGTCGTACGAAAAGCAGTCTGGAACTTAAAAAAGACAATTCAATTATGTCTCCAAGCCCAACTTCTAGTAGCAGAAATAGTCCTCTTTCAACTAGTCATACAACTTGTAGTTCAATGGTATTTAATTCAAGTTCAAATGATCTTCGAACTTCTAATTCGAATATTTCTAATCAAGTCCAATGTGTAATAGCACAAGAGAAGTACATTAATGAAGTTAAATGCGTCGAAAGCATTACGTTACGCAAACCAAAGTCATCTTTGTCTAATTGTTCATCTCCGGCGTCAATCAAGAAAGAGCAAATAACAAGACAAAAAGCCGAAAATTGTCTTAGTAAAGTATTAGGAATGAATATTATTGCTAAGCGAGAAAATATTGGGACGTGTCTAAAATCTTCATCAGTTTTCTTAGATGATGACTCAATACATGAAGATGACAATGATTTTAAAATAGAACGAGGTCTTAAAAGATCACCTAGGATGAGTATAGCCGATGTGGGCAAAATGAACGGGGATATAAATAAAAATACTGATAGAACTGGACACGTTAAGGCACAAGCAAATGCAAATGATGCGCTATCTGACGAAGACTTAGAATTGGGTCCATTAATGTTAATGGGTCTTTCTGCAATAAACCCCGCTGCCCATCTTATGCAAGTAGAACCATTTAAAAGAAATTCGGAAATAGGTATGAATAATGTTCATTCGAGACCAGCAAGCCTATGCTCAGTGAATTCAGAATCCCCCGTGCCTAATATTGCAATAGTTCCACCTACACCTGACTATAGCACAACTAATAAGACTGTAAGCTCGTTAAATATTTATTTAAAATTACGAAATATTTTGAAATAGTTAATTATGTTTTATTAATTTTTAATACTTATTTGTAGGATGGTTTTATGGATGATTCTCCTGATTCTCCAGATGCACCCGAAGACCTCCCGTATGTTACTTTAAAAAGGTTTGTATTGGGACGTTAATATATTTATTCTAATAGAATTTATTTATAAATGAATGGTTGAATGATGATTAATATGTTACAAATTAATTTGATATTATCCCATTAAATATATTATGCAAGATGCGTTCGGTCGGACATTTTGAAAGTTTCTCCCGTGGCAACCACGTACTGGCAAGCGCAGTGTAGTTTGGATTATACTAGATAGAGGGATGATCTTAAGGGACATGTATGGTCACGATAGGTAAAGTTGACATTCTACCGAGCTTTGTACTAATCTGTAGTGGAGACCTTCATGTGATTTCTTGGTGGGCTATAAAGATGATATAAGTCATAAAAAGCTTTCAGTTGTACTAACTTAGAGGAATAAGTAAGCATTATAAATAAAACTTAAAAATAATTATTCATTAAAAAAACATAATAACTTTAAAGTTAATAAAATTTAATAATTGCTTAATAAACTCCTTCCATTTATTATTTTTAGATATGGCACTATGTCAAGCCTTGAGAGGCTTCCATCCGATGAGACTGATGATGGTAATGTAAGACTGACTACACAAGAACCCGAATTACCGAAACAACACAATAATTCAGGTATATTTTTAATAGTAATAATTACCCGTCATTCCGAACGTACCAGATTTTTTTATGGGGTAAGGGTGACGAACGATCACACAGTCCACCTCATGGTAACTGGATGCTGTGGCCCATAGACATCCACATTAATCCTCGATTAAGAATCAAAACGCAGGTGCGTTGTTGACTAAGACGGAATGCCTCGTAACCAGTAAAAAAGGGTCTCCGGATCTCTACACTCACCATACGAAACACAGCAGTACTAAGATGCTATTTCACGCTGGTATTCTGTGAGAGCGTGGTCCTTCCCCGGTCGAGCCGACTCAATCGTGCTACAACTATAATATACCTGCAGCGTGGCTCTACCACGTATAAAAGCCATACCCCTTGTATAATAAGCTGATTTGTTTTATCAATCTTGCGATATTTCCCTCACATCTATATCAAGGTATTCTGTTTATTCCTGTTAGCATAAATTTTAAATTCAAACACTAAGATATCATTTGCAAGTCTTATCTATTAATATTGACCAACGAGCATTGTTACACAAACTCACTAATATTTTTTTTTACTTTTTTTGTTACATTTAGCCGATAGTAACTTTTCTAATGTATAAATCGGGGGTTTCCAAAGTGTCACGACGCCCACTTTAAAAACCCCGGATTCCGCCTTAAGACACCGTAGGAAGTAAATAGTGGCGCGGCACCCAAAGCTCTTTTTTCTACAATTTTCATAATAAAACTTCTAATTTCATGGAGTTAAATATTGGTCAAAAATGAATATCCAACTCTTAAATTCAAAGAAAATAAGGTAGCAGTGTACCAAGTCTTATCCCGCATTTTGATAAAACTTGTGGAGATCAGCAAGTTTACGCAATTGACACGTAGTTTGGTGTTATTCACGTTTCATTACACACTTACTTTGAAAAGGGAGCCGTGACAAAATACTAAACCTATGAGTGCGCGGTGAACTAAAAAACTTGGAAATAAATAAAAATTTAAGTAAAGTTTTGTAAACGTTGTTATTGTTACGAGCTTAGTGATCGTGATAATAAAAACTGCCGATAGAATTACCGAAATTGACACTTTAACTACCGAACACCAATTAACTTAAAACATTTCGCAGATATGTCGCTTTGAAGTCTTCGCTTGTATTACCAATTCAATACTGAATCGGTCGCGGCCGCAAACGTCTTTATATAGGGCCTTTTCCACTGAAACATCTAAAAGTTCAATTAGAATGTTGAAAGTTCTAGCATCAAATTTTCTAGAAAGCTCTCCTAGTTCTGCTACTCCATACTAGATGGTGCTAGTGAATTTTCAAGAAATATTTAACGCTCCTATTTCTGCTACTTGATACTAGATGGCGCTAATAATAACCCACCATGTGGGTGAAAAAAATAATGAATAATGTTGCGCGCCATAATTAACCCACCAGACATTAATTATGGCGCGCAACATTATTTTTCTTCTTCGCCATCAGAATATAGAGAGTTCAAAGCTGGAATTGAACAAAATGAACTTGAGAAATTTTCTTAGTCGTCACGGTTACAGACTTAATCGTATTATCGGTTTTTGGTACACACATCACACAGCGTAAAGTTCATTCATTACAGCTTATTGAAAGATCACTGCACCACCCCAACAGATTGACTTGTAAGAGGAATATGTTTCATTATTACCACGCTTGGCGGAGAATCCGTGGATGTCATAAAAGGTGACAGAGGGAATAGAAACAAGAGACGGGCATACAAATCTTCCTGTTAACAATTCATAATAATAATAAACATACAAATGTTTGTAAGTTTCTTTCACAAGATTAATGAAAAACTTGAAAGAACCTCTTACGGCACCGCTGCCGTGTTTTTAATAATTATGCCGGAAGGTAAAACACATCTATTAATTTCAGCAACAAACACGGACGTATCTGGTGGAACTGGTGGAACTGGTGGTATAATGGGATGGACAGCAAGGGCTGGATCGTTCGTTGTAGAAAAAATGAACATTTTCAGTTACACAGAGAGTGTTCCTAATACTTCGATTGCACATAAGCAACCGTCTTTCTTGGAAAGGTAGGTTGTCCTTTTCCTTTTACTTTATTTATTTCTTTTAAAATCTTTATTACGTCCCCTTAAGAAATAAAAGGATACTATGGGCGGATTTAATTCCTAAAGGCATTCTCTACCAGTCAACCTATAAGCTCATTCCTTCATTCTCTTTTGTCCTCTATTCCTCAGTCCTCCTTTCTATTACTGTGAATTTTTACTTTGAAAAGACCGTATATTACGCCTGATTATATAGTGACAATGAGATAAGGTTTACATTAAATTATATAGAGATAAATTTTCAAAATAAGGCCTTTTAGTAGATGACAAAAAATTGTGTTTAGTAATCATCAAATTGTATGTAAAAAAATAATTGGATTGTGCAGTTAAATATAAGCAGTATCAAATTGTGGATGTAGGGGAAAAAGTGTGAAAATTCAATTGGTCTGTAAAATTTAAGATTGGCCATTAGCGCAGCCACATGTGGGATAATGAGTCTTATAAATACTTTTACAGCACCTAAACATCAACAAGAGCCAGATAAACTGATACGTATAATATAAATGTCCACGGCTTGGGCAGGCAAAAGGGTCGTCCCAGCCGAAACTTAACCTACTATTGTAGATATTACTTGTATAATAAACGTAAACAAAATACGTTTGTAACTACATAACGCCGAGAACTGGGGAACGAATATCCCAATCATTCATTTTGCTACTGAAATGAGTATTGCACAGATATTTACTGCTGTTGCTACTGTAAGGCTAAGTAAACTACTTAAATCTAACATTACAAGCAAAATTTTCTAACAAGACCAGTGTAATCACTACGTTTGAGGTTTATTACAGCTTCTATTATATATTAACTACTAAATGCGACTGCCCTGGCGTTTTTTAAATAGAATTAGTGTAACACATGGGCACACAGTTCACATGATAGTAAGTGGGTGATATGGCCCATATACATTGCAAGTGTTATTATGTCAATATAAACATTATATGCGTTGTATTTTTTACCTTTGTGTAAAATATGAATTTTATGATATATTTTTACCTTTTACATCTTAGGTGGCAAACGACTCAAGAAAACAAAATGCGATAAGTATGAGTAAAACTACAAGACTATAATTTAATAATTTTGAGTGTGTTCGTAGCTTTAATTATCAAAATAAACTTACATTATTTTAAGGGTAAATGCATTAATACTTATTCAGCATATAAAAATAAATAAATTACTGTTTTTTTTTTCAAAATTAATTCAATTCCCTTAAGGTGAACTTTTGCTAGACCTCTTACATTAATTTTAAATAAGGGTACATTTTACACTTTCCTAAATTTTTTTCCTAGTTTTAAAATTTAAGATATCGAAATGACACAGTCAATTTCTTAACAATATCTTAGCCCTTTTATTTAAATATTATTTACTCTACAACTTTGTTCTAAAGTTAAATAATATTCGAATTATTTAGTACTCAAATATTATTTTAGTCATAGTTCAATATATTGTTTTCAAAACAATAGTAACTATAGTTATACTACATAGTAGCTTATAGTTAATAAAAATTGAAACTAGCTAGGATAGATTTTGGCATAGATCTTTTAAATAGTCCTTAGTCAAAATTTTAAATAATACTTATTTCAAAAAAAAACTATTCATCTTGATTGTATGCCATCAGATACATATTAAATAGCTAGATAAAAATGTCTGTCATAGTATATTGGATTTGGTAGCTTTTACTTTTTTATATTTATAATTTTTAATTGAAACGTTAAAATTGTTTGAATATAGGTGTTTAGGAGTGAGTGATTGGAAATCTACGTTAGGGACGGAAGACGGCACTGGAGAAACTGGAGAAGGGAGTGGTGCAAGTGGGGAGGAAGCTTGGGGCACGCCGTCTTCAGGAGACCTATCAGATAATCTGCCTGATTCCGATCATGGAACCTTATCGGTTAGAAAAATGTATATAACTTTTTTTATAGAAGAGGAGGCAAACGAGCATCCAGCTCACCTGGTGGTAAGTGACTATCACCGCCGAATGCAACATCCGGCGTTATACAGATGCGTTACCGGCGCTTTAAAAAAGAGTACTTTTTTCTTGAATAATATCGATCCGGAAAAAGCGTGGCCGAATCCACGAAGAAGTGGTTCGAAGAAGAAAACTTAAGTTGAAGTCTCCCACACCGATGGCTTCCATCTGGTTGAGTTTCTATTTATTTATGTATTTTTATGTTTTTATTTTATTTATGTATATTTATCATTTTATCAACAATTTATACAGCCCAACCAGATGAGAAAATTATATATAGATAGCCCTCAGAGTGATAATTTTTTTAAGTTGTATTATCTAATATTAAATTAAGCTAAACTTAATGAAAAATGGATATTTAGCGCCTCGGAATTTCAAGAAACCGTTTTTACTACGACAAATTAACCATTGGCCCGCTTCTATATGAAATAATTTCAATTATTCATGACATACTCGCTCCATATAATCTATATAAGCTATCAAATGTCACGAGGTTGCTGCATCTATATTTCTATGACATGAATGGAGAAGGACCACGCTCTATCGGAATACTAGCGAGAAATAGCAGAATTAGGCTGTAGTATTTCGTATTTTGAGTTTAAAGAGACACTTTTTTCTGGTAACGAGAGATCTATACAAAAATTTTAGTTCCCTATAGCATTTTGTGTGAGAGCCGTGGTAGCTCAGATGGTTAACGCTCGCTGTAAATATAACAGAACGCGAGTAACCCCGCCGGCACCAATGAAATTGTTAATTGCAATTTTAAGTGCTGATTTACCACGTGCTCGGCGGTGAAGGAAAACATCGTGAGGAAACCTGCATATTTGAGGAATAAGAAAAAAAAAATATCGAAGACATGTGAAGCTCGCCAACACGCATTGGGGCAGCGTGGCGGACACTTCCTTGCCCTAAAACCCTCTCAGAATTAAGGGGAGGCCTGTACCCAGCAATGGGACGTATATAGGCTGTAATTGTACTTAATTTTATAGCATTTTGTGTGCTCGTTTGTCACTTTTCTATAAAAATTCGCTTTCAACAACATCCTCGTGACAAATTGGTTCGATTGATAATTTTTGTAGGTTAACATTTTGTTATTACTTTAATCATGTTTTTTCAATTTGTTTTTCATAAAATCCATGCTTAAATTATGTCCATATGTTAAAATCGTATGAACAGAAACTTTACCATTGCAGTCCCCAACAAAGTCGTCATCATCGTATGCTGGTGATGACGATACGGAGCTGATGATGGATGAGCTACTGATGGCGCCAACTATAACGGGGCCCACGACATTACGGCCACTATTGCCCAGGTAATAAAAGTATACAATTTTAAATTTATATTTATACTGCTTCTTAGCAACTTTTACTTGTTGCTTTTTAAACCCTGCTTAATTCTTTACAACGTTTTGCATGCTGTCATGCACTAATATCTCCAACAATTTGACGTAGTTACGCAGCGATCAAAATTAAACTCGATATAACTCGACATATGATTAACATCATGTCAAAATAATCGATATGTTATTCATCTATTTCAAAACGATGAAAATAATTTTATCAAAAGTTGCAAACTTACAAATGAATCAGAAAAAATAGTTTCCATTGTATACAGCAGCGATAAAAATTTCAAACGTTAGAAAGTGAAGTTCTCGAAAATAGACTTATGTGGGTATAGAATATATAGAATCTTTTTGCATAATTACGTCCAGTTCTTGCTTGAAATTTTACATTTGCAATTTTTGCAGTTCTTAGCTTAATGGAATAAAAATATTTAATAAGACGAAAACAGAAATTAAAAAAACTGACTAACGTTAATGTGGGACGTAGGGATGTTTTTAGGCGAAGACTGGAGCCGTTGCTTGAAGAAGAATTCTCGGAAAGTGACAGCGAAGATAACAAGGCTACTCCAACCAATTCTGATGACCAGGTGAATATCTTTAACAATCTTGAAAAATAATTGCTAAAGTCATTATCCATAAAATAAACTGAAATTGCGTAGATAAATAATAAGACGAAAACATTTAGATTAATGTTAATATAATTGATATATTAGTACAAAAAAACATTTTGTAATATTTGTCATAACTTTTAATTACCAATGTTCGTCCAAATTTTTTACTGATGATTACATAGTTGATGAAAAAACGCTTAAAATTTCGGTAGAGAAGAAACAATTGGTGGAATTAATACTTCAATGTATACAAACATAGCATGTTGTTAACCCTACCCCCAAGATATGAAAGCATGACCGTTGCATGAGACCTGCATAACATCAGTCTGAATTGTATTGTTCGACTTGGAATTGCGATGTTTTATTTGCAGGAATAAAAACTAAAGTAGCTGTTACAAGTTGAAGCAAACGTTCAAACGCATTAAACATCAAGTATTTTTAAATATCCATTCGAACAGCTTTAAAATTTTTCAATATGATTGAAAAACTTTCGGAAATTTGATTCGTCAATTTAAATTACACAATTTATTTAAAATTCTAAATCGGCCATATTTCTAGTGTTTTCTTTTTAATTTTGGCATAGTGATATTAAATTTGTCTCGAACTGTTGATATTTTGTGATCATTATATATTTTTCGTAATATAATCCCTTCAACAATTGGCTAAATCAATACGTGTATTAATATATGTACAAATATTGTTATTTGACAAATTTTCTCTATAAAATTCCACGTGGAAGTTTCTGTTGACTATCATCAAAAGAGTCACTTTGTTCAACGGCTTGGAGGATATCGTCATCTTCATTGGCAAATCGCTTTGAGGTGTAGACCGTAGCTAGGTTATGTCTCACATTGTGACTGGTCCGCTGGTGCGGCGCTTGGCGCAGGGCAGCGGGCGTGGCCTGGGTGCTGACGACTGTTGCGACGCGCCGCGCCTGCCGTCCTCTGTTTCAGGGTCAGGTGAGTTATCACAAAATCACAGATCAAACAATACTTTATAGCTTCACAAATAACTTCGGCACAATAATGACATTAACTAAAAATACCCTTTTTACTCGTAACGAGGTATCCAATCGTAGTTCTCGGAGGTCATATGCATTCTACATTTTGATACTTGGTTGAAAATAGATGTCATCTACATTTGTCTTACACTTTTGTCTTACACTTACCATCAAGTGGAATTTATGCTCGTTACTTCTTTTAAAAAAGGAAAAAGTAAAATTTATACTATGAAATTATAGTAAGTCATAATTTAAAAATAATCGAAGGCAATTTAATACCTATTTGGCAGTTGCAACTAAATAAGTAAAATGTTAGATGAAATAAAAAAATCAGAAGTCAATACCAATTTACAAATGGAACCAACGCGCTAAATTGTAACTGGCACGAAGCATGCATGATTTATGTCTTTTAAAAATCACCCATTCTAACAGCTGCAGCATAATTTTTTTGATGTTGTCAATCCTTTACCTTACTTTCGTCAGCCCAGCATGGACTTGTCAGCAGGCTATGCATAATCACCAGTAAACACCTTATTTGTTGTTTTATAATTATAGATATTGCAATTACCCCAAAAATATATTTTAGTAAATAATTTATAATAAATCTTTTTCATATTTCGTAATCCAATTTAATCTAGTTTTCGTAATCTTTAATTTTAATCAGCTAGTAGGTATTTTAAATATCGTAGCAAGAAAATATTACGTTACAAAACAAATTCGGTTAAAGCTCATATCTCAACAGTAGCAGAGGACGGGGGTGCGGGCGACGCACCGGATGTTGGAAGGGAGGAAAATTGTGTCGCCGAGTCAGAACTGAGCCCAGATCGGACACCAACCAACGAAGTGCCCTCGATGCCCTCACAATCTGGTAATTGAAGGAAGCTACAAAAATACTGCCGCGTTCCAATTTTTTGAAGTACATACATAATATTATTATTAAGATGTCCTGTCTCTTCTTCTCAATGCAAACCACTGCTGTACATTGTCCATTCCCTTGGCGGGCGGATTTTCTATCAAATTATCAGAATTCTTGCACCCCTGAAGCTGTTTCCAGTTCGGACATTCGGGACATTTTATAATAAATATATATTTGTTGGAAACAAGATGATATTATAGCGCCACCTATCGGCGACAATGAGATCTTTCCGGTATTTTCCGTCGCCTTTTCCGACACCCACGGGATGATATGAGGTGATGGGATAATTAAGCCGCCACTATGCAGTACATCATCATCAATCATCATCATTTCAAGATAGATAAACATAATACGGATTTTGCATTGAAGTTTATAAATTTCTAATTACAATCAAACCTTCGGCTTCGAGATCAGCTACTATCAAAAGGTTATATCAAAGCCCAACAAACGGCTTCAGCTTAAGTAGATGAATTACATAAATTACAACATCTTATTTTGGTTAATGTTATAAGTACTTGGACGACAGAGATTATTTGGGCGTTAGAAAAAAAATTCTTAGGAATAACAAAATTTCACCGAAATAGTTGTCAGACCGTTACCGAAATATCAATTACGTACATATATACAAGTATAAGTATTGCTCGCTATGATTAATTATTAAGGGTTGTTTTTTAGTTCTCAGATAAATTTTATCCATCAAATAAATTATAATATTACCGATTTAATTTGAATATTACCGATGACCTTGGGGAAACCTTGATCATCCAAAGTACTTAGCTCTATAACTAACTGGCCGGTTAGTCAGATAGAAGGCGGACTACCATTTCCTGGTACTCCGTTCAGGTTCTGCACTGAGGAATATCTATGATACCTAGATCAATAAGATCTTTATCAAAACAGCTATTTTCTTTTACGGCACTTGTGACCAGTCTAATTTGATATTTAACAAACATCAAATTAAAATGGGTGGAGCTTCTCTAGCCTGCCCATATTCAGTGTAGATAACCCAAAAAATTATGTATTCATATTGCTATTTGGTATGATTGCTTACTAACAACATTACATGCCCATTTATATACCAATATGTACCAATATGTAAAATATATACCAATGCTTTCCTTCTTCTTTAAAAAAAAAACGTTACCTCCACACTAGGATGATCTCTTGTATCGTCTGGGCAGTTTACATACAATAATTTCACAAGGGCAAACATCCAGACCTGAAACAATTATTTGTAGGCCCTCAGCGCTGCAACTCCTTGCTAAGCTACTACGCCTTGGAGCGGTCAAGTGCTAAAACATTTTCAGGTAAGGTCTATAATATATATATATATATATATATATATATATATATATATATATTTGCGTCCAACTCGACTCTCGATGACGGGGGGAGTACGCCGCCGACCATCTCGCGGTGTGAGTGCTCCATGCCGGAAGTGCAGTTCAGGCGTAGTCCCAAAATCATGGAAGACGGCTTTCGTCCACCCAATCCCTAAAAAAGGCGACCGCTCAGACTCGTCCAACTACCGGCCTATTGCCATCACCTCCTTGTTCTCCAAAACAATGGAGTCCATTATAAACTGCCAGCTCATGAGGTACCTTGAGAATCACCAGTTGATTAGTGATCGCCAATACGGTTTTCGCCGTGGTCGGTCAGCTGGTGATCTTCTGGTCTACCTAACTCACAGATGGGCGGAGGCAGTAGAGTCAGAGTCTAGAGAGAGGGAGGGGGAGGCATTGGCCGTTAGTTTGGACATTGCGAAGGCCTTCGATCGGGTTTGGCACAAAGCGCTTCTTTCGAAGCTCCCATCCTATGGGCTTCCCGAGAAATTGTGCGATTGGATCACCAGCTTTCTTGCAGATCGGGGCATCAAGGTCGTTGTAGACGGTGCAAGCTCCGATTGCAAGACTATTAATGCTGGTGTTCCACAAGGCTGCGTGCTATCGCCAACGCTGTTTCTTCTGCATATCAATGATATGTTGCAAACCTGTAACACTCATTACTATGCAGATGACAGCACTGGTGATGCTTTTTACACCGGCCGAGCCAATATTTCTCGAGAAAACGTCTCCGAGTGCCGGGACAAACTTGTGTCTGAAGTCGAGTCTTTGCTGAACAGAGTCTCGGTTTGGGGGCGACTAAATCTAGTCCAGTTTAACCCCCAGAAGACACAAGTTTGCGCGTTAACCGCTAAAAAGAACCCCTTTGTCGTATCTCCTCAGTTTCAAGGCACTCCCCTTGTTGCCTCAGCCAGTATCGGAATCCTCGGCGTCGATATATCGAGTGACGTGCAGTTTCGTGGTCACTTGGAAGAGAAGGCCAAATTGGCCTCTAAAAAGCTTGGCGTGCTCAGCAGAGCGGGACAGTATATCATGCCGGCACACCGTCTGCAACTTTACAAGGCGCAGGTTCGGCCGCACATGGAATACTGTTCCCATCTCTGGACTGGGGCTCCCCAGTACCGGCTCCTTCCACTTGACCGCATCCAGCGCAGAGCGGCTCGAATCGTCGACGACCGAGTGCTTTCCGATCGGCTCGATTCTGGCACTGCGAAGAGATGTTGCATCTCTTTGCATTTTCTTTCGCATATACCATGGAGAGTGCTCTGAGCAATTGTTCAGATTAATCCCAGCCACCAAATTTCGTGAACGCACTACGCGGCAAACGTCCCGATACCATCCACACCATCTGGATGCTTGGAGGTCCACCACTGTACGTTTCAAGAGGAGTTTTCTTCCGCGTACAACCTCTCTGTGGAATAGTTTACCACCAGCGATTTTTCCGGATCGATACGACCTGGGGACCTTCAAGAAAAGAGCGTACTCCTTTTTAAAGGGCCGGCAACGCACCTGCAATTCCCCTGGTGTTGCGGTTGATCATGGGCGGCGGTAGTCACTTAACATCAGGTGAGCCGCATGCTCGTTTGCCCCCTCTTCTATATAATATATATATATATATATATATATATATATATATATATATATATATATATATATATATATATATATATATTATACATAGCAGACTATATTCAATGTAACCTTTTCTTCTCATTATTTAGTTTCAAAAGAATGTGCGGAACGAGCCGGTGCGTTTGTTGGCGGTCGTCGGGGCTCAGCCAGTTCGGCCAGCACGCCCTCCACACTCGAACGTACCACCATCCACAACCCCACGCCCCATCTTCAGCTGTCACCAGGTCAGCTCAGCACCAAGCAGTGCTATAAATATATAGGTAATATACGGCTCCCGACTCTTTAAAATTAATGTCTTCATGAAGGATGGATTTTGACGGATGGATGTCATATACTTGTATGTCGTTTACACGACGCCAAGCAGTAGTGATATTTTTAATAAATAGATATGTATTAGGTCGTTTACCTAGGAAATTGCCGTTGTTTATGAAATAAGATAACTAATTGGCTTTCGATGCGGTCGCCAAAAATGTTTTACTTCGTAAGTTAGCTTGTGTCGGCTGCACTACATCATTTTTCGCCAGTTATCTGTGAGACCGGCATCAGTTTTTTGATTACAATGGGCACTTTTCTCGACCCTACCCTACTAAATCTGGTTTTTGGTCGATGTAATAAATTTTTGTACTTCATTACTGTTTGCCGATGATCTAAAATTAGTTTTAGAAATTAGTGATAAATTTGATTGTGACTCTTTATAGCATGATATTGATAAAGTTTTAGGATGGAGCATAGATAATAAACTTTTTTTAATGTCCCTAAGCGCTCAATGCTGTCTTTTAGACGCTCACGCACCCCAATTCATCACCAATACGTGATGAACGGGAAGCTGCTTCATAGAGTTACGGATGTTAGTGATCTAGGTGTACGTTTCACTGCAGACTTAAAGTTTAGATTAAATGTAAGTAGTGTTTGTATAATGGTGTACTGTAACCTCGGGTCACTAATGCGTCTTACAAATAATTTTACAAATTTCGGGGCTCTGAGAGTGCTATATGATGCACTCTTAAGGAGCCACTAAGAGTTTAACACCATCATTTGGTGTCATACATTTGTATTAGGCTCTTCATGAGGAGCCAAATACAAATGAATGTTAGAGCGGATACAAAATAAATTTATTGAATTCATGGACTTGAAACAATTCGGAGTGTACCCGGGCTATCCCTTGTTGTATCCTACTCTATTTTGTTCGGTATGGTAGGGCGCTACAAGCTCGATGTCAGAAGAGAAGTCGCTCTCGCTACGTACGTGTTAAAGGTGATGAGGGATAGGATACACAACCCGAAAGTGTCGGATATGGTGCAACTGAATGCACTGGTGGCGGTCTCGTTACTGGCTGCCCCCGCGCGCGCCCCGTACTGTTGCAGCAAGCACGATCAACACCATGACGGAGCAAACTGATTTGTTTTCATGTTCGCTGAGTGGGCTCAGTAAAATGGCATATCATATTGTATCGTTGACTACAGTTTGAATTAGGGTGGTCACCCTGTAATAATATTGTATGTTGTATGTGTGTAAATAAATAAATAAAAATAAATTTAAAAAATCCAATATATTTCTTTCTATTAATCAAAGTGCAAGATGCTAGATGCATCTTTGCCAACGCAGTAGCAGTTTATTGATTCTTGAAGAAATCAACTGGATGGGAGGCAACAAATTCTTCAAAGGCATTTTGTACTGCCCCTTCCGTATTAAATTTTTTCTCTACAAAAAAGTTATTCGAATTCTGAAAAAGTAGAAATCTGTAAGCGCAAAGTCTAGTGAGTACGGCGAAAGATGGAGAGGTTCCAACCCCAGCACTTTTAACAGTACTGTAGATCGGCAATTTCATAGATAAATACCTATTATAAGTTTACAAGTTATGTATATGTCCGTAATTAACTTTTTTTGTATAAAATAAACAAATAAATGCAATACACAATCTAATAAAAAAATGAGCCGTGGTAGCTCAGATGGTTAGCGCTCGCTGTAAATTTCACAGTACGCGAGCAAACCGGGTTCGATCCCCGCTGACACCAATGAAATTGTTAATTGCAATTTTAAGTGCTAATTTACCACGTGCTCGGCGGTGAAGGAAAACATCGTGAGGAAACCTGCATGTCTGAGAAATAAGAAAAAAAAATTCGAAGACTTGTGAAGTCCGCCAACACGCATTGGGGCAGCGCGGTGGACACTTCCTTGCCCTAATACCCTCTCATAAATGAGAGGAGGCCTGTGCCCAGCAGTGGGACGTATATAGGCTGTAACTTTACTTTTTTACTTTATACAATCGATAACCACAAAAGAAAAGGGGTAACAAAAATATTAAATTATTTTTTCTCTCATTATCATTATTTCACTTCTTTTTGTGTAGCGGACCACAATTATATGTGGTAGGCTATGCTGCAGCTGTATTATAGTTTTAGCACAATGGGTCAGCTCGACCGGGAAAGGACGACGCTCTAACATAATACCAGCGTAAATAGCTGCTTAACGCTGTTGTGTTTCATTTAGTGAGTGTAGAAAACCGGAGACTCTTTTTACTGGAAACGAGGTATTCTATCCTATCACTCAGTGGTAACAATGCATTTTGATTCTTAATTGAAGATAGATATACTCGTAGATGACTATAGGCTACAGCATCCAGTTACTATCAGGTGGGCTGTGTAATCGTTTTTTAAAAAACACTATTTACGATTTACGAGGATCAAAGAAGAGACCAGAAAACTTACATTCAATTTTCTTTTTCATAAAGAAAACGTATCCTTTCTCATATATTCTTTTTTTTTTTTGGAGCCTTTCACTTTCAATAAAAATTGAAGTTTACTGTATGATTAATAGATAATAATATACTCAGTAAAGTGCTTACTAAGAAGGAAGTTGCAATTTGATAATTAATAAAGAAACTACTGGTAATATAATTAATTATTTATTCATTTGAGCAGCTTCGGAGCACCCATCAGTCCCGGAAACTACCCAACCGGAGGAAACCAAGCCTCCATCGCCGGAAGAACGGCTCAGTCCTCGGACGGAGATGAGACTGGCATTGGATCAGGGGAAGGACATGCTAGCAGATCAAGAGGTGTGTTTTATTTACACTAGGTACTTAATTTAAAGACGAAAAAAATGTTTCCCTAATCAAATTCAAATGTTTTACTTTAAGTTCAAATTCGTAAAGTTCAAATTATATTTAATCTTACCTACCCCCAAAATACATACGCATGGGTAAATTATTAAAACCACATACAATTTGCAAAAAAAAAAAAACAATATTTAAATTTTTTATGATCGCGTTCTCTGAAGTTACTTTACTCTGTCTATCTGAGATAAAAGTTTTTTTTATAGGATGGAGTGACAAACGAGCACACAGTCCACCTGATGGTAAGTGGTTGCTGTGGCCCATAGACATCTACATCCTCGATTACGAATCAAAATGTAGATGCGTTGTCATCCATGAGGACTTAGGTGGAATGCTTCGTTTCCAGTAAAAAGGGTCTCCGGTTCTCTACACTCACCATACGAAATACAGAAGCATTAAACTACTATTTCACGCTGGTATTCTGTGAGAGCGTGGTCCTTCCCCGGTTGAGCCGACCCATTCGTGCTACAACTAAACTTCTAATATAACTGCAGCATGACTCCACCGCGTATAAAATAAGTTTTAATACTTATTCTGATTACGCACTTAACAGGAACCGCAGGGTTGTTGTTACATGTTGAATAACTTGATATGTAGGCAGCGCCTTTCTTTTCTTTTCTTCGTCGGTGTGAGCAGCTAGTACAGTGTTGTCAGGGTGGCGGGTCCGACCCCTGGTCGTTTCGCGCGGCGTGTCAGCGGTCACTGCTGCGCCGCGTGGCGAGCGCCGACGCGGTGACCCTGTGCCGCGCGCACCCGCGCCGCACCGCCCCTCATACTACTTCGCGCAGTTCTGTATATGCATGGAAACGTAAGTGTAGAAACCTCAAACATCATAGAGAAATACGGACCTCCGGCAGACTGGAGCAGAGAAGCCATAGCGTTTATTCCCGATACAGATCTGTCTGGTCGATAATCCAACACGACCGTAGAGAGATAAGGCGTAGTACCAACGGCTTTACGTGTTTTCCGAGGCACTTTAAAGAGACATGAACAGATAAACGGAAACTACGACACATATTCTCGGCAGATATACTTCAAAACTTGAAAACTAGATTGTACAACCATTGCGTGCTGCCAGTGATGCCTTACGGATCTGAGACGTGGTCCTTCACGGCTGGCTGTATGAGGACGCTCAAGGTCGCTCAGCGAACTACGGAGAGGGCTATGCTCGGAGTTTCTCTGCGTGATAAACTTAGAAATGAGGATATCGGTAGTAGAACCAGAGTGATCAATATAGCCCAACGGATTACTAAGTTGTAGTGGCAATGGGCCGGCCATATAGCTCGAAGAACCGACAACCGATGGGGGAAAGGTTCTCGAGTGGCAGCTTCGTATCACTAGGCGAAGTGTAGGGCAGCCTCCCACTAGATGAAGGGACGATCTGGTAAGACATGCAGGAATTCGATGGATGCAGGTGGCTCAGGACAGTGCTTTGTGGCATTTTTTGGGGGACGCCTATGTTCAGCAGTGGACTTGTGAAGGGCTGTAATGATGATGATGAACGATGAAGAGATAAACAGACAAAAGATCTGGACTTCTCTCTCGAAAATTATTTCAGTGGTCGTTTCTGCGAAAGCGTTAATCGCGGCCTGCCTCTGGGGTCATGTGAGTAGGTGGGAGAGAGTCCCACTGATGGAGAGATGGACCACTTGAAGCTCAAATGTTTGAATTTCAGAAGTTAATTAACAATTTGTGGGTGTGGGTGTTTGTTCCTGTACGATTTATTTAGTACGTAAGGCCCCCACAATACACCAGAAAATTATTACATTATTTTGTATTTGGTCATAAAAAAGAGGATTCTCCGATTTTGAAGCTGTAGTAATTTACCTATTAAAAATGTGATAAACTAAATTTTAATTGTTTACGTTGAAAAATAGAGATTGCATTCAATTATCTGTGAATACCGGGTTATATTGTCTACCTGACCTGTATTATTATTTATCAGAAATTAAAGAGTGTATGTACAGTTCCAGAAAGCGAGAAACTTATGGAGATGGAGCAACTGGCACGAGTGGAAGCTCAGACGATGCGTTCGCGGACGCGCTCTCAATGCCAGAACGGGACGATGTATGTATCCCAGATACCCTCAAATTCTTCGTCTAAATCTTTCTTGTAAAAGGTTTGGCTGCCTAGAAGAGATCGCTATGTAGGGATAAGGCCGCCAAATTGTTACTTCTTTTTGTTACGTTATCTGTCTATTTGTTTGTGGTGTATAATGAATTATATTCATTAATTCATTCATTCGTTCATTCATTCATTCATTTGGCGATGAAGCATCGTTCGTTATTTTTCTAGGAGAAGTTACGAACGAACTTATAGTCCACCTGATGGTAAATAGCTACTGTAGCTCATGTACCTGGAACTACAATTTCAAATAAAGAAGGCTACAGATGCGTTTTTAGAATAGAATACAACATAATGACTTTCATTCAATATAGATTACAATAATACTCATTGAAAGTCATTTTTTACTTTTACCACTGGTTCGCAAAAACAACTATGTCCTGGGAAGAAACAGAGAAGAAAGATGGAAGAAGAAGAGAGATGGAATGCCTCATTTCCAGTAAAAAGGGTATCCGGTTCTCTACACTCGTCATACGAAACACAACAGCATCAAGCTGCTATTTTACGCTGATATTGAGTAGTCCTATCTCGGTCGAGCCGACCCATTCATGCTACAACCACAATATATCTGTAGCGTGGCTCTACCACGTAAAAACTTCTTTTTATTAAGACGGAATCCCTTACAGCCTGCAATTATAGTGGCTGTATATACCCTTTAGATCGGAAAAAAGCAGTGAACTATGCAATACTTAAGAGAGTAGTACCCACCCGAACGGACTCCCGAGCGAAAAGGAGTCTTAACCCCCTAAAATAACTATGAAAACATGTAGGTACAGGTTGGCACTTGGAAAAATAGTTGCAAAAATAGTCCCCGTATGAATTGTTCGGCTTTCTACCGGTGCGGCACAGCGATTAAGGCAAAATAACGAAAAAAAAAAAAAGCTGCGATAGTCATATGAGCTGGGTAGTTCTCAAATTAATCTATTCTTATTTTTTTCTCCTTTAAAAATACATATTATGCCAGTGTTAAATACAAATTAATATCCTTCTAATAATACTGAATCATTCTTAAAATGTGTTATCTCCAGATGTGAACTACAAAAAGCAGTTGTTACGTAAGTAATATCAAAACCCTATGCTGACTAGATGACTGTATGTAATGGTAACTGTTTGTTTTCTACGTCTAGTACTACGAACGTCAACCTTTCTGCAAAGTATAACTGCAAGTCCTGTGGAAGAAATACCTACTGAACAGAGGGAATATCGTTCATAAGAAAAGATCATGTGCTGATGATCATTATAATGTACTTTTTACAGATTGGGTTTCCTCCGCCGCCGAGCATCATCCGATAGCCCCCGCCGAGAGCCCTTTATGCCAGGCACAGACCGACCGTTCTCGCCACGTCGCACGACCGTGAGCAACCACGGCTATTACAAGATTTGCTTTGTCAATGGCTCTGTGTAAACATCGCACGCGCACATAAGCTTTTGAGCATGAGCGTGGCTAGGGAAATATTTGTACCGTGTCCTGATTAGGATTTACACATTATTTTCATTACATCAGAACGAAGGCTGCCTTCTTTCATTCGTGCTGATCCGTCCTTGCTGCGTCCATGTGTCAATCAGCTGGATTTAAAGGAGACCCTGATATATTGGCTCATCTACTTCAAAAGCTTTAAAATTACATAGACACATTGGAATAGACTGCATAGTTACATTATGCGCTTTAGTAAATATAGTTGTAGATTCAAATGATGAGTTTCATTTGAAATTTTGATCGACGTGAAATAATCAATGACAATATACTTAAATAGACGTACATTTAACTATTAGTGTATTTGATAGAAGATTTACTTTATTAGTGAAATTATTTAACCAACATTTTTTCCCATAGATAGACTATCTAGTGTCTCTATCTAGTCACTAAAATGACACTGTAGTCTATTCTTTGTGTCTATATATGGGAGATTTGTAATGGGAAATACAATAAAATAATAGTTATTAAAGTGCTGTAGAAGTAATCTAAATTTTAATCTAAATTTAACTTGGCCAAGTTTGCCTTTCGGATATACCATTTTTAGCTCTAAAACGTTATTGTTATTTATGAATGTACGATGTTTAAAGTAATATTACTTACATGTTTAAAAACTGAAAGTTTTTCTTAAGTATTAAATTTGCTACATTGTTACTCTTTGTAAAAATATCGAGCGCTCTAATGTTAATGTCAATTGTTCATTGCTTAAATTAAAAATTTAAATCCAGCTTCGATAACACTTTTGTTCTATTGAACTGTCCATTTAATTCAGAACGAGAGTTCATGGAAATATATTTTTAATAAAATTTCTTTGCGCTTTTCACTCACCCTGCTGCTTTAGCTTTCCCTACCCCTTTCTACAATACTATTTCCCGATATTTCACAATTACAATTTTCCAAGTAGTACTTTGATAGTATAGATATAAATATTACTTTTATATCTCAAACACATGAACTTTTAGTTGCCTAATAAACAATGTAAGGCGTTTAATCTCTAATAGTGCTAGATCTTTTAATTTTTTATACTCACACGACAAATATATTGTTCAATCCTTTTATTACTCAACAACATAGAAAATTACGATGCAAAACAGAGAAAAACTACTATCTAGATTTTTCTCTAATGTAATATTGTTACAGGAGAAACATTTCGAGAAAAGATTCTGGAAGCAAGTGAATAGAAGACGTCAGTCTTGCGGCTCCATCAGTCAAATATAAAAAAGATAAAGTGAAACTATTCTGAAGAGTTCAAATAATACAAAAAACTGAGACATTTTAGATATATAGATCGATAAAATTGTAGACAATTGAATTTGTGACTACTAAAAAAATTTACGGTTAGTGAGAAAACGTTGACGGGAAGATTTGTGAGCTTTGACGATATAGACTGTTTGTTATAATACTATTAAAATAGTTATACAGTTCAACGTTGAAACGATGGTAAGAATGAAATAAAGGATGCCAAATCGTGTCAAGGATATGAAAGGAATTGCCAAATACACTGACGAAAGGGACCTCTCGACTTTACTTCATATCGTAGTTAGAACTATTAATTGTTATTTTAGGCACTCTCATTAGATAGTACTTGAATCGTAAAATAGTAAGGCCTAATGTTGTTGTATGTAATATGAAAGAAAATTTTGAAGTTTCTCATTCTAGATGTACAGCAAAGCATACATTAAGATGCTTGATATCTTTGTAAAATAAATAAAAAATATTTTAGCTACTTTTTGTGCGACGCTGTTGACAATTTGAGCGATTATTGTAAAGTCGTTTTTATAGAACTTATTGTTATCTAGGTGTCACAGGATTTCACGCTATAGATAGCTCATAGTCTGTTTTGTTACATTTAAAGTAATTTGATATCTATGGTGCACATTTTTTGACCATATTGCTTAATGAAAACATCTGTATTAAATCCTTTATGTCAATATTATTACAAACAAACAAGAATCGATTGTTAATGAGAAATCTAAGTAATACAACATATTTTCGAGATGGAGTAAAATTTTTATTCGTATTTAGTCGTCGAATTTATTACATATATTATTAATTTGTGCATATAGATAGAAAATGGGGATTTTTAACAAAATAATTTGTAACTGAATTCAAATCAAATCAAAATAAAATCTTTTCGTTTCTCTAAAGTTTTGTTTTGCTTAATACATTATTATTCTTTCTTGCCACCACTTGATATCGACAAAAGTACGACACAATGCAAGGTGTGTGTCTGTACTTCGTATTCGCGACGTGGCATAACGCAACTTAATTTTACTTAGTCCTTCGTATTTTATCAATATTACAGTACTTAATTATTTTTCCACTCAAAACCAAAATTGAAAATATTTTAATTAGTTCAGACTTATTTTAAATTTAGAAAGTCTTCTGAACTGCTGTTCGAAAAGAAAGGCCTTTTCGAACCGTTAGTTTATATAATATCTTATGATACTCAATTATTTGATTTTTTTAAATTGAAAATAATTGAATAGGGATGATTTAACAAAATTTTAAACCGGTCAGGCCTATAATGCAGAAGAAATTGCATTTACCGTTTACATATTATATCACATCACACTTTTTCTTCCAGTTATTCTATCTAATAGTAAGCCTTCCTTAGAACTTCAAGACTTCAAGATACTATAAGCTCGTTCTGCATAGGTTGGACCAAAAATTAATATTTAAAAGTTAAAGGTGACCTTCGTTAACTATGATATCGGGACGTTAAACACCTCACACCTCTCACCTCTCACCTCAGTCCCCCCTGTGACCAAGGGCGCTGTAAAGTGTGAATACTCGTAAACTAAAATTATTGCCTGCATACGAGAGTGACACTGAAAGTTCTTAGAAAATTAAAAACTGAACAAACTAGAGAGTTATTAGTTTTATTATATCTTTTTGAAATAGTGTCCATTTACATCAATACATCGCTGCATCCGATGGAACCACTGAGAAAAGCACTTTGCCCACTCGTCCTTAAGGGTCGCTGCGACGGCATTTTGCAGCTTCCTCGGCGTTCATAAAACGTTTTCCTCGAAGATTTTCTTTTATTTTCGGAAATAAATAAAAATCGCAAAGTGCGAGGTCGGGGTGACCCTGTAATTCCACGTCAGACGTCGCTAAATAGTCGATTGTTTGCTTGGCGGTGTGCGACGAAGCGTTGTCGTGGTGAAGGAGGATCCTACTGCGAGGTCGTTTCTTCCGAACTTTTTCCAAGACAAGTGGCAAACAATTGTTAGTGTACCAGTCTGCAGTAACTGTTTTTCGATCCTCAAAAACAATTGTTGCGTAATGACCTCTCCTTCCGAAGAATGAGGCCATCTTTTTTCCCACGCTTCGACCTCTCTTCACTTTAGTTGACAACTCTTCGGTAGAAAATACCCAGACAGCAGACTGTCTCTTAATTTCAGAATCATAACAATAAATCCAGCTTTCCACCCATAAGTATGTCGTATATCTTTAAACCATTTCACGACACCAATCAACACGGTGGAGTTGTTGGGCCTCTGTCAAGTTATGAAGTATCCACCGCAGACAAATCTTCCTGACCGCAAAATGTTCATGGAGGATTTTGTGCACTTGACTCATACCGATGCCTAAGCTTGTCCGTATCTGCTGATAAGTCTCTTTTTTGTCAGTCTCTATCATACGCTGCACAACACTGATGTTATCTACCATCGTCGCCGTAGAAGGAACCGTCCCTCACGCAGATCATCGGTGAGATTAGTGCGACCACGTTTACTCATTATACCAGTTGTAAACAGTGGCAGGAGATGGGGCTTCATCGTGAAAGGCCGGTCGAAGCCCACCATAACTTTGTTGTTGACTTAAAAGACAACGAAAGTGATAGAATAGAATAGAATAATCTTTTATTCAATATAGATTACAAGTCATTCTTATTGAAAGTCAATATTTTACGTTACCGCTGGTTCGAAAATAACCTCTGTCCTGGGAAGAACCAGCAAGAAACCCAGCGGGACGTTTTTTAAATAAATTTTACAATTTCGGGGTCACAAAATATTTACAAAATTTATTTTAGAAAAAGCTGGGCGACCACCTCATTCCCAGGGGTTATTATCAACATAAAATAATAACCCTTTTTATACAGTTTTTGTTTAATTAAATATTTAGACTTGGTAATAGAGAGACCTTGTATATTTTCTGGGACTTTGTTGTAATAGCGTATATATTGCCCCAAGAATGAATTACTGACTTTGTGGAGTCGAGAAACCGGTAGCACCAGCTTGTGTTTGTTCCTAGTGTTTACAGAGTGTATGTTATTTTTTTTTACCAAAACTACCTTTATTTTTGTTAACATACATCAATTTTTCATAGATATACTGAGATACCAAAGTTAATATATTTATTTCTTTAAATTTTTCTCTAAGAGACTCTCTCGGTTTAAGGTTGTAAATAGCTCTAATGGTCCTCTTCTGCAAAACAAAAATAGTTTGTAAATCAGCCGCATTCCCCATAGCATAACTCCATATGACATTATGCTATGGAAATAATTATAGATAAAAAACATTGTACGAAAATTTTCTCGCGTTAAAGTTATGCTGACGTGACATAGACAATTTGCCGCCAAATCGTAAATGAATGAAAAATTAATAAAATACATGTGCACAATAATATTGGAAAAGAGTTCTATTTTCAAAATTTGAACTTATTTGTTTATTATATCGTCTACAAGTAGCCAGTTCTAACAACTTTCAGAGTCGCCCTCGTAATTTAAGTCCATCGACGTTTTAAAAAATCTTATAATACTAAACACTACACCTCTATTCTAAAATAGATCGGCGTCTAAGATACGTGACGTCTGGAACTTGAATCCATCTGCCAAGCGTAACAATCAAGTCAAATCCTCCCTACATCGGGGGAACTTCGATGAAGATAAAGAACGATCAAGATAAAAAGAGCCCCCATACGGATTTTATAGAATAAGGGTGACAATCGAGCACACAGTCCACCTGATGGTAAGTGGTTGCTATGACGCATAGACATTACATTTATCCTCTATGAAGAATCATTCGTGCTTCAACTAAAATATAGCTGCAGTGTGGCTCTACCACATTTTTTTAGGAAAGTGGGCAAAGGAGCATACGGCTCACCTGATGGTAAGTGATTATCGCCGCCCATGAACGCCCGTGGACTGCAGGGGAATTGCAGATGCGTTGCCGGCCTTTTAAAAAGGAATAGGCTCTTTTCTTGAAGGTCCCTAAGTCGTATCGGTGTGGAAAAATTTCTGGTGGTAGTCGATTCCACAAGGAAGTTGTGCGAGGAAGAAAACTTCTTTTAAATCGCATGGTGGTGGACCGCCAGTCATCCAGATGGTATGGATGGTATCGCGAGTTTTGTCGCTATGTGCGATGGTGAAATTGTGCGGCTGGAATTAGTCCGAACAATTCCACAGAGCACTCCCCGTGGTAGATGCGATAAAATAAGCAAGCAAGCGCTAAAAGTTGCAAGCGGTGAGCCGGAATGAAATACTGTCCCGCTCTGCTGAGCACACCAAGCTTTTTAGAGGTCAATTTGGTCTTTTCTTCCAAGTGACCACAAAACTGCACGTCACTCAATATGTAGACGCCGAGGATTCCGATGCTGGCTGACGCAACAAGGGGAGTGCCTTGAAACTGAAGAGATACTTCTGCAGTAAACACGCAAACTTGAGTCTTCTGGGGATCAAACTGGACTAGATTTAGTCGTACATATAAATTATGAAGAATTCAAATCTGATGAAGAACACTCACTGTGTACGGGAAAAATAAAACTCAGTAAAATTGTTAAGATAGGTAGGTATATTGATTATTAATGTCAAGGTTAACTTAAACAAATTCATCGTTTTAACTACTATCAAAGCAAGAAGTTTTTGTCGCAAAATTTCACGTATTTTACCTCTTCACCCATTAATTCGGTTACCTTCAGAATATTTTAACAAAATTCATTAAAAACTGAAAATATTAAATCACTTTCGTCATCTATATATTTGCGTTGCACTATATTAATTAGATTACATATTTAAGGAAGTGTAAGTACAGCTTTGCCTTATAGTAGGTATAAGTTAAAATGTGTCAACAGAATTATACTACAACCATTTATTGAGCACATTTTTCTCAAACCCTTCCATACCAATTAATGAACATAGCGACCAAGGCAAGAGAATAAATTTACTGTTCACGCAGATAATCAATTTTACAATATCTACGTCACAGATAATAAAT